GGGTGATAGCCCGAAGATAGGCTGACTGATGCTCCCAACAGATGACAAAAAGCCCTCCAGAACCGGGCCGTGAACTGGGCACCACGATCCGAGACCACGTCGACAGGAAATCCATGGAGACGCACCGCATTCTCCAGGAACAACTCAGCTGTGCGTCGGGCCGAGGGGAGGCCCGGAAGGGCGATGAAGTGAACAGCCTTAGAAAACCGGTCAGTGACCGTCATGATGGTATTAAGGTCGTTGACTGGTGGGAGCCCTGTGACGAAGTCCAACCCCACATGGGACCAGGGGCGGCTGAGTACCGGAAGAGGTCTGAGGGTACCAACCGAGGCCTGGTTGGATGTCTTGGAGCGGGCGCAGACGTCACAGGCACTCGTATAGTCCTTTACATCTCTCTCCATACGTGGCCACCAGAGAGCTCGTTTGAGGAACCTAAGAGTCCGTGAGAAGCCCGCGTGGCCAGACAGGCGTGATGAGTGGGCCCAGGACAATGCCTCGCTTGCGACAGGCCGTGGGGACGTAGAGCCGACCCGCGGGGGTCTCTGGAGGCGCTGGATCGTCTCGGAGGGCGTTTTGGATAGCCTCCTCCAGTGGCCACCTCAGGTGGGCCAAGAAACGGTGCTCGGGGAGGATAGGTGCCAGCTCGGACGTGGGCGTTGGATGTGTGAACTGGCGGGACAGGGCGTCCGCCTTCTGGTTCTTTGTCCCTGGGCGGTAGGCGAGATGGAATTCATAGGGCTCAAAGAAGAGGGCCCAGCGGGCCTGGCGAGGATTGAGCTGCTTGGCTGATCTGATGTGGGTCAGGTTCTGGTGGTCTGTCCAGATGGTGAACGGCTGAGTGGTGCCCAGAAGTCACTGCCTCCATTCCTCCAATGCCCACTTTATGGCCAGCAGCTCGCGATCCCCTACGCCGTATTTCTGCTGGGTGGTGGAAAACTTCCTGGAGAAGTAGGCGCAGGGATGAAGCCTGTCGTCGGGCCCGGCTTGGGACAAGATGGCACCGGCGCCAACATCCGAGGCGTCGACCTCGACCACAAAGGGGACTGCATGATCCGGATGGCGGAGGATAGGAGCCGACGTGAAACGGGCGACTAGGTGTTGGAAGGCCCGAACGGCGTCTGGAGTCAGCCGGAACGGTTGGCTGGGAGGGCTTGGTCGGGTGAGAGAAGTGAGAGGTGCCACAATGGTGCTAAAGTCCTTAATAAAACGGCGGTAAAAGTTGCAGAAACCCAGAAAACTCTGCAGTTGTTTCAGGCTCGTCGGGAGGGGCCAGTCTCTCACCGCCTGGACTTTCTGAGGGTCCATGGTTAGTCCTTTATCTGAAATCATGTAGCCCAGGAATGATACGGACTGCTGGTGGAAGGAGCACTTCTCGGGCTTACAGAACAGGTTATTGTCCAGGAGCCGGGTTAGAACAGCGCGAACATGGTGGAGGTGTTCGGCCTCGGACTTGGAGTAGATCAGGATGTCATCCAGGTAGGCAAACACCCACCGTCCCAACATGTCGCAGAGGACATCGTTTATGAGGCGTTGAAAAATGGCGGGGCTATTGCACAGCCCGAAGGGCATGACCTGGTACTCCCAGTGACCGGTGGGTGTGATGAAAGCGGTCTTCCACTCATCTCCAGCTTTAATACGGACCAGATTGTAGGCGCTCCGGAGGTCCAGCTTGGTGAAGATCCGCGCCTGGGAGATGGCGTCCAGGGCAGATGTGAGGAGCGGCAGAGGATGACGGTCTTTGACTGTGATTTTGTTCAGACCTCGGTAATCGATACAGGGGCGGAGATCACCCTCCTTTTTCCTGACAAAGAAGAAGCCTGCGGCACCCGGGGAGGAGGAAGGTCGAATGAAACCCTGCTGGAGGGCCTGGTCAATATATTCCTCCATGGCTCTGGACTCGGCGGGAGAGAGAGAAAAAAGGCGCCCCCGGGGTGGACTGGTTCCTAGTTGCAGCTTGATTTCCATGTCGTACGTGCGGTGAGGCGGAAGTGTGGTGGCGCGCCGCTTGTCGAACACCGCAGCCAGGTCCCGGTAGGGCAGTGGCAGATTGGGCGGTGTTTGGCCAGTGTCACCGTCCGGGCGGTCTGGCATGGATGTAGGAGGAGAGAGGTGGGCCTGGCACTGGGTCCCCCATTCCAAAATGCGGCCCTGGGACCAGGAAATCCGGGGGTCGTGGAGACGGAGCCAGGGAAATCCCAGGATTAGAGGAGAGGAGGGAGCACATATGATCAGAAACTGGAGGGTCTCTCGGTGGCCTTGGACAATCATCTGGAGTGGCTGGGTTCGGTTTTGGATCGGATAGGGTTGGAGGGGCCTACCGTCCACCGAGGTCACAGGCACAACTCTCTCCAAGGGGGTCATGGGGATCCGTAGGCGCTTAGCCAGATCCATGTCCATAAAATTGTCAGCGGCCCCCGAGTCCAACAGCACGTGCATCTGAAGTGAGGTCTCACCATGAAGGAGGGTAACATGAAGAAGGAGTCGATTTGAAGAGGCGGGGGCTGAAGGTGACCCAGGCTGAGCGACCCCGATACTCAGTGGGTTCCTTCGTTTCCCAAACGTAATGGACAGTTCAGGCGTCTGTGGTGGGAGAAGCCACAATAGGCACAGAGACCCTAGCGCCACCGTCGCTGTCTCTCCTCTGGAGGAAGGTGGCCTGATTGCATGGGCTCATCAGTAGAAGCGGGTCCGGGAGCAGGCGTGGGGGAACGAGGAAGAGGGCCAGGTGCCCTTGATAGGCGAGTGAAGGGCTTGGGCCGAACCAGAACCCGCTGATCCATGCGCAGCGCCAAATCGACCACTTCATCCAGGGTCTGGGGCAGTTCCTTTCCCGCCATCTCATCACGGATGTAGGTCGCCAGTCCCTCCAAGAAGACGGCTCGGAGGGCAGAGTCATCCCACCGCAGCTTGGCGGTTATATTCTGAAAGAATGACAGAAAGAAAATATGGAAGATAATGAATGTGTAATTCAAGAAAATATTTTGTAAACAACAGATAAAAATCTTTTCTATAATATTTATAGAAAATTAGTTCTAAGAACTTAAAGCTGTTTTCATGTCAGTGTTGATCGTTTATCTTGCTAGACCGTCTAAAGGCTGCACTGTCCAACAGTTGAGTTCTGCCTCTTGTTCATCAGACGCCTCGGCAGTGAGGAGTGTAATTGATGAGTTTGGTGACATATACCAGTTAAAAGTATTACCATGCTTCATGATAATCTCTAATAAGGATGCAGCATTACAATTAGGGATGGGAAGAATTTCCAGTTGAAAAGACAACAAATATCATATGATGCTGACCAACAAAGGCAGACCTAGTGCAGAGCAATGCAGCCTTCAAACTGTACATAGTAAGCCTAAAGATTAACAGTAACAACAAAAGAACAGTTAAGTTTCCCCACACAAAACACTGACCACATATTTATAACACAATTGACAAAGAATCAGATCAATAAGGGGAATTGATAATGGCATTGGTATTAACAAAACCTTATCAATACCTGTGGTTGGATTTACCTCCATATTTAACTACAGATTTCTGGTGTGCTTGTAAATGGGGTATTAGGGCATGGTATTGGCCCCACCTTGTGGCACAGTGGGTACTGATAGGTATCCGCTGATTGTTGTATTAATTTGGGCCATGTACCCTCTTTAAATGTTGTGGCGCTGGTCTATAAGAGAATAAAACACTATTAAAACTCATACTTTTAAAAAGAAATACAAGATTAGAGCCAAAATTATATTCCTAACCTATTTCACTTCAAATCTGAATGCATATGTGTTTACCAAATCATGGTCAGTTTAAGCTTTAGTATTCTTCCCTTGTTAAGTTAAAACACAGGACCCTATTTTCTAATGTTTTTGTGTCTAAATGACTAAGAGGAAAAAATTATGAATGATCTACTAGGAGGCAGGGCCAGATTAACACTTTGTTGGTTTTAGTTCTTACAAAAATATGGGTCCCAACGTGGTTTGTGTGGCGTTGCCATAGTGTGACATCATAGGCACAGATCCCCTGTCCTCTTTTTTGGAAATGGAAATATGGTCACCCTATATTAAACAAACTGTCCACCCGGGCTTTTGAGCTGCACAGAGACGCTTCGCTGCCAATGACTTTGAACGTCAGTTGAGAGCGGCTGAGAGTCAGTCTCATGCAGACTGACCAATGAAGAGAGAGCCTCAACTTAAGACCCTCTCCTCAATGGTCAGTCCACACGAGGTGGGTCAAAGGTCACACAAACCACGTTGGGACCCATATTTTTGTAAGAACTAAAATTAATATCAGATTCTGCCAATAAAATGGCTCTAAAATTATTCATATGTAAATTCTTTGCATATTTATTGCAAAATCTCATTTTTCTGCTTTAGTGCTGCAACAAGGTTTTATTAATAAGAAATTATTGTAACTTTTGTTTTACCACAGCACTGGTAAGCTTCCTGTGCACGATTATTAAGGATGCTTGTTTCAACTGTGAGATTAGACGATAGGGTCAATGAAAAAATAAGTTGTCACACACGCCATGGAAACTTTCAGAGAATCCACAAATAGTGGCTTTCAAATGGTCTTGTTACTTTTTGCGAGTTTAGAAAAGAAGCAGATGAGATAGCATGTCTGATCATTTAGTTTTTCTTCTGATAATATTAGAACATGTCAGTGGTGTCTGAGGGGCTTTTACAAACACTGTATAACTAATAATCCTGGAATACACAGAGGCTTCTGGGAAGCCCAGTTGTGGGGGGGGGGGGGGGGGGTTAGGGTTCTGTTTTGCCTTGGCCCCCAAAATGTCTTGAAACGGCCTTGGGTGTGTGACTGAGTTTTGAAGGTGATCTGAATTGTATCAAATGTATAAATATTACATGTGTATAACTTATTGTTTTATACAGGTAAAAAGGCGTAGTGGAGATAAATCTACCTACATTTTACTTTTCAACACTTTGTTTAGAAACAGGAAAACTTCAACTACATTACCCACAATGCTAGACAGGTGTTACTATGGAGACGTGGTTAGCTAGTTAAGAAATGAGATATTTGTAACGCGTCTGTTTTGGTAAATTAATTAAAATTTTTACAGATAAGTGCGTTTTGAATGCACAATTCTGGGGGCGTTGGTGACTAGACACAGTTTATGTGTAAAGACGTTTTGTCGCAAAGAGCCAAAGAGGCTTGGCGCTGCTAATGCGCGCGAGTTTTAAAGTGGCCGAGTCTGCTCAGCGGAAGCTAGTTGAAGCTAGCGAGATAGCCACGGAGTTAGCTTTTCATCCACGAAGTTTTACGAGCAGTCAGCAACCTTTAAGCGCTGAGGCTAGACAGTTTACGTTTCAGGGAAATGCATCCGCCACGGAAAGTTTAATCAGGTAAATGTGTGTGTTTTGTTTCTTTTTCAGGCTAGACAGGGAAGGGTTGAGTTTAGCTAAGTAGTAAACACCAGCATTGCTAGCAATTGATCGCAAACATGAACGTTACTCAGAATTAGAAATGAGCCTCTAAACAAAAACATCTTTAAACCGATCAATAAGCGATATTTATGCATGCTAGTGACCTCATTGTGTTGTTTAATACATGACCATATCAAACAACTCATTTCTGATCAGATGTTCGCGAAACAAACAACCTAATAACTCTTTTGCCCCAACAGGTAGCACACAATGTCTATAGATTTTGATAGTGCTGCTCTTCAAACTCAGCATGATGAAGAGGAATATGACCAGGAAGACTATGCAAGAGAGCAAGAGGTAAAACACAGCAGCAGTTTGTGTCCACATATACACAAGTGTGCAAAAGCCTTACTACCATTTGCTTCTCAAGAGTCCGATTTTCTTGAAATCCTTTAAAAGTAGTTTAAAGTCTTTCTCGAGTTCTTGCAACGTTTTCTTGCTTTTTCAACCATTTGTTTTCTGTACAGTCCGTGCATCTGATGGTAATATATTTCTCACGGATGAACAGTATCTGAATGGCTTTATATTTGGAAGAAGCCTATCAGACTTTAAAGAGCAAGTCACCCCCTACCAAAATCTAACTCAACTCCCACTTCATGTTTGAAAAATGCAACAAATGCCGTTGCCTAGCAGACTGAGAGGGCGGAGCCGCTAACAAATACACACACACACAGGCTCACGACAGCATTGTGACATCATAATGTACCAGTTTACGTCATAGCATACCTCTTAGCCAATAGCGGTGGCAGTTATAAATTCAAATACAGTGCAGAGTTTTTACCTGACAACGGCACAACACTGACAGTTTTAAGCAGAATATTTAAATTTTAACTAAGATGCACTGAAGTGCCAAATTATTGACCACACGTGTCTGCAGCACAATTAGACACTCGTTTATTTAGTTTATCAGCAAAAAAAAAGTTGATTTGGGGGTGACTTGCTCTTTAAACAGGACCTGAGTCATGCGTAATCCTTGGACTGATCCTCTTCTATATGAAAGCTTTTCAGCTCAAAGCTCTTATGGAATTACTTTGTTGTTGCTACAACACTATATCATGTGTTATTTTGGTGCTTTTAATAGATTTGTCTCAACAAGTTAGGGCAAATTGTGCCTATTTGACATGATGTGTTTATCAAAGTGCCTAAAATCCGATTTAAGATTGTTTAGTTTAACACTAGTTAATTATTTCACTTTAGAAACATTTTGCTGCCTTAATTATTTGTAAATCAGATGTTTGTTAAAAAATAAATAAATACATTCGTTAGAGAAAAATCCAAGTTCTGAATGGAAAACGCACACACACACACACATAGACACACACACACGACACACGTTTATGTTTGGTCAAACATTCTCATTTATTATAACCAAATGACAAGAGCATATATATTTTATGCTGGGGAAAAAAGCTTGTATTAATTCAGAATGTTTGCCGTTTTATTTTTATGAGATATTTAATATATAATATTAGCAATTCTAACAGGTGGTTTGAGATCATGGTGTGTGTTTCATTTGAATGTCAGTCACTGACAGCTTCACATGGTGAAACATCTACTTGGTTAATCACGTTTCCAGTCGATTGTGTCATGAGTGTGAGTTGTTGTTATTGGCTCCCTCCAGGTGTGTCATGCTGAAACTAGCTCTGCCCTGTGGCCTTCCCTCTCTTCGTCTCTGCTCCTCTCCCCATTTCAGCTTGGTTAAGACTGGAGAAGTGATTGCTGAGCAACTCACCAGGTGTACAGCAGAAAGGAGCAAATTTAGACTTTTTCCATGAACTTTTTGTATTTTATTTTTTTACAACTTACTAAACAAACTGGTCAAGTGGAAAATGCTTGCCACCAGTAATTGGAATGTTTCTGCTCCAGTTAGCCTTGCTATATGTTTTTTTTTTCTTTTAACAATGGAGTTCTTTGGGAGCGAAAGCAGCAATGTCACAGGGAGCCAATAACATGCAAGGCATGCTCTGAATGTTTCTCACATAAGGTCATCTCAGCAGAGTGATTAGGATATATTAGTGGTTATCTGGAGAGCCGAGCCGCGTTTTATGTTCCTGGTAGATGTGTTAGTGTGGTAAAAATGGGTCCTTCAGTCCTGGACACTGTGGAGGATCTGAGGAATATTCAGCAGTCCTTGTGGGAAGTAAGTCCAGCAGTCCGTCTCTTACATGGCCTTGTCTTGCTGTTGTTGTGAAGCTTACATGTTTAAAAGCTGTGGAAAAAACTCTAAACAATTAATGATATTTATAAAATAATATTTGCATTGGAGTTTAATTAGCCTGAGATTATTTTAAAAGTTTTTGGATAAATTCCTTGTTACAATTTGATTATTAACTTAATCATTACATAATTGCTGTAAAAAGTACACAAAACATCTAATCCACATTGAGCCACATCCTGACCAATACAATTAAACCATAATGTTGTTTGAAAACTCAAATATAGCCACTTTTTATTTCGAATGTTTTACACCACTGACCTTTTTCCTTCTTCATCTCACTCATTGCTACTCTGTGTTATTTTTTGCTGCATGTCATTTCATAACTCTGTTGCGTAGCAACCTCAGTGAGTCATTTCCATGTGCTGCTTTCTCTGCAGCTGCACAAGCTGCTCACGGACCTGCCGGATGACATGCTGGAGGACAGCAGAGACTCCTCCTCTCCGGAGCTGGAGTGCTCCAACTGCAGCAATCAAAACGCCAGCAGCAGGTAGCACACGTCGCCGGTGACACGGCGTAGATTAAAACACCCAGAAAATCTGCACTGCAACAAAGTGACTTCATGTTGCCTTTTCCTCTCAGCCCACAGTGTAAGTGGACTCAAGAATGGTCCGATCATGCACATCCGCCCTCTCATGCTCAGGTAGAGAGTATCTTTTTGTTCAGAACTGATTCCTAGAAGAGAAGAAAACATAATACATTTGTTTTTGTATATGGTTTTTTTTTTTTTTTAGATCTATGACGTTGACTTTGATCAAGCCTCTCATGACCAGTATGCCTATGAAGATGATGGAAACCTGCTCCCTCACACCTGGAATCAAAATCATCCATTTGCACAGGAGAGGTATCCGTGCACAAGCGTCGGCTCGGATAAATGCACAGAGAATAGCGATTTTTCTACTGGGTCTGAGGCACAGCCGTTCCCTGAAGGCTCCGACAACCATGTGAACTTTAAAGGAGAAGAAGGCTACAGGAGGGAACTCAACCACGAGGTTCAAAACACCAGACACCAGTTTCAAGTGAGTGAGCGCCTGCATCAGTGTAACCACTGATCTTCAGCGGTTCTCCTAGAATCAGGAAGTTTAAAACGTGATGTATTATTGATCTGTTTCTACATGGATGCCCTGAGTAACCAGTTCAGGACGGCAGCAGCAGAGCTGAAATGTGTCATAAAAGGAAAACATTGACAGTACAGTACCAGCAAATCAATTCATGTATCTCTGCTTCAGCTCACGGGATCCACTAGAGGTGTAGGATAAGCTTAGAGTCCAATCGAACGAGAATTGTTCTGACATTGTATTTATTCTTCTACCGTGTGGTTTTGGGTGCTATAAAAACAATCAGTCATTAAGTTTGTGTAGTTTTTATTTAAGTCACTTTGTACAGCAATCTGTTTTTAAGCTAACAGTGTTTAAAACAAACAAAACAACCATAACAACAATCAGCTATTCTGATTTAAGTCAAAATAATTTCAGATTATTAAACTTTAATTTAGTTTTCGAACGTCTTTACCTGACACTGTGTTTCTTTACTGTCAGAATGTGAACTCTGAAGTGAACGATCAAGGTTCCAACCAGCACCAGGTTCGTTATAAGCCTCATCATGCTGTCCACCAGCCCAAGGTGTTTCACTCTCAAGCTGCTCAGCAAGACCAGTTTGGCCTCCTACAGAGGGAATTCCTCGATTCAACACAACGTGAGTCTTTATTTGTTTTCTGATTTTAAACTCTGAGGTATAAAACTCACAATTACTGCTGCTGCCTTTAACCTGGTCCAGACTTCACAAAGCTGTAAAAGTGTAGATTTATCAACAGCAAATGGTAAATATTTGATGATTGATTTTGACGCTAACTCATGAAAAGCAAGGCTAGGTATGTAAAGTCAAAGATAAATGGATGTTTTTTCTAACAAATTAAATCAAAGTGGTTTGATTTTGGCTGACATGTATAATAGAAACTTTACCCAGAAACATCTCACCTGTTAATTAAAACTATCAGTCAGTCAACCATCAAAACCAGTGTACAACCTTGAAGAAAGTCTCCATATACTTCTCAGAAGTAAGTGACAGATGATCGGTGTGTTTCCAGAAAACGCCGACAGGGAGCGAAGCACCCAACTTCAGATTTTAAACAAAGCTCAGCAGAGGCAGATTGAAGATTTGGAGCGGAAGCTGGAGGATTCCCGGCGTAACATGAGATATCTGGAGCATCAGTTTGCAATAGTCAAAGGTGTGTCTCACAGCCTCAGCATCACAACAAGGATGTGTCCTTTTAGCATTTGTTGGCTGATCATGTTACGTTTTTACACGCATTAAAACAGTTTATTCTGCTGAATACAAATGTTTTTGTACCTGAACTGAATTGACTACAGGATTCACTCAAGATTAGATCAATCTGTGACATTTTTAAAAATTAAATGGTCAATTAATAAAAAATTAAATTTGTGAATAGATGAGAAGGACGGCCTAACGGTGAGCTACAAGGAGTCCAGTCGACTGGTCGAAGACGCGAAGGAACGAGAGGTTCAAATGCAGCACAAGCTTCAGGCTGTAGAGCAGCAAGTTCAGCTCCTCAGAGAGAGAGACCAGGAGGTTAGCGCTTCACCCTCAGTACCACCGTCTCAATCCAAGTTTATACATTTTATTCCTAATTTATAACATTTAAAGACGGCTTTAGGACAAAGTGGGTTGTCTTTGTTTGCAGAACCTTAAGAAGCAGAGGCTGGCTGATGCTGCTGTGGACAGCATGAAGCAGCAGATGCTGGAGCTGTGCCGCTCCGACACCCTGTCCAAATCACGAGAGCAGCACGACCGAGACCTCGCCGTTATGAAGGAGCAGCACGAGGTGGCGCTGTTGGCTTTACAGCAGAAACTAGACTCTACCTCCCAAGCGCTGAGCGAACAGGTGTCGTCAGACGGAAACAGAAAAATGGTGGGGGTGAACTGGTGGGGGGTGAAAGTCGGTCTATTCAGCTTCTGTGTTGTTTCCAGTTTGATGTTGGCCAGAAGCTACGAGAGCAAGTGAAGCTGTTGGAACGGCAGAGAGAAGAAGAGCATCTGGAGAGAGCCAAAGTAGTCAACTCCTTGTCTCAGCGCCTGGAGGAGAGTCAGCACCAGTGTGCCAAGCTGCTGCAGACGAGTGAGTGAGGAGCTCCACTTATTCTTCATGCACTCCTTCTTTTCTGCTCACCTTTAAACAGCTTTCACCTACGTTTATTTCAGATACGGTCCAAGAGATGAGTCAAATGCAGATTAAACTGCAGCAAGCTCAGGCCGCCAAGGCCCTGAGTGAAAACATGAGCAAAGTTTTACAGGTTTGTACTTTTTGTTTTTGTTCTGTAGAAGAGAACAAACCTGGTTGTTCAAATTAAACACTTTAATCTGTTCTATATTTGTTGTTTAAGGAGGATCTAGCAGATCTAAAAGAGCAGATCACTCTGTATGAATCTGCTGTGAAGCACAGCGTTATTACCTTAGACCTCAGCAGCGAGTTGGAGAACCATTTGTCTGAGTCCTGTATGGATCTGGGTCTGAAGAAGACCAACAGGAAAAATGGAACACTTCATCGGTAGGGCTTCATGTCTTCTCCTCTCCCATGCTGCTTTCCCACACTGGAAATGTGTCCTGTCATACTTCAGCAGCAACATCCTCAACAGTAACAAGTTTTCCTTTTTGTCAGTACCGCTCTGGCTCACCTGTCGGACTCTAAGCTGCCCAAAGACGAGGCTCTAAAGCTCCTGCAGGTGGAGATGCAGCGCTGCCTCGGGTGTCTGAAGGGGAAGAGACGGAAGATCAGTCAGCTGCAGGAGGAGCTGCAGCACCGTCAGACCCGAGTGGATGAGCTGCAGACTCAGTTAGAGGAAGTCAAGCTCAGAAGCTCAGTAAGGACGCCATCTGATGGCCATTAGTGGAAGTTAATTTTAATCCAGATTACAGGTAAATAGCTTTATTCATGCAGTTTTTGATCACGAGTGTTTTTGGGTGTGTGTGGTCAGGTTAAAGCGAAGCATTCCGACTGGAACGGAGACTCCCAGAAAGAGTTGACCAGGCTGCAGGAAGACAAGCGACACTTGATGGAACAAGTTGAGGTTGAGTGTTGTTTAAAATGTAATAATATAAAAAAAATGTTTCAATCAAAGAAAAAAAATCATGTTTTTTCTTTTTTTTTTTTTCAACTTACAGTTGCTGGAAAACAAGAACAAGGAGCTGAAACAGAGTGAGGAAAAGCTGAAGTCTGTTAACTCTGAGCTGTGCAGCAAAATGAGAGAAATGATCCAGGAGTTGGACCAGGAAAAGCAGGAAGCTGCAGAACGGTACCGCTCACAAAACACCACATTTAAGTGTCTTTACTTAGTTTCTGTGCTGCTTTAGTGAGTGAGTGTGTGTTTCTGAAGGTCTGAGCGCATTAATCAGCAGTACAGGGACGATGTAGTGAACCGGGTCAGAACAGAACTCCTTGTGGAGCACGAGGCTCAGACTGAGCAGCTGACTGCACAGCACCGGCAGCAGATTGAGCAGCTACAGTATGTTTCTGCTTTAATTTTGAGAATTAAAAATGTTTTCCCCCTTTTTTAACAATGTGCTTTACTTTGTGAGCAGAAACCAGCTGTCAGAAGTCAGCGATAAGATGTTGGCTGTGCAGGAGTGTTACATATCTGTCTGCAAGGAGAAGAGCCTGCTGGAGGAAACCGTCCACAATAGAGAGAAGGAAGAGACCTCTATCAAAAAGGAGACCGAAGAAAAGCTGAGAAGGGAACTAGAGGCTCAGCATCAGGCGTCCATAACACAGCTCAAAGCAGTCTGGTCCAAAGAGAAGGAGACTGAAGTCCAACAGCAAGTGGACTCTTGTGTAGCTTCAACTGAAGCTAAATGGAAACATGAACTCGAAAAGGTCCAACTTCAATTAAATTCACTCCTTCATTCGTAGAAATTCCAAATCCAACTTCATTTTTTTGTTTGTTTGGTTCCAGAGAGAGAAGACGTGGCTCCAGAGGTTGGAGGAGGCTAGCAAAGAAGGAAAGAGGCAACTAACTGAGGCGGCCTGTCAGACGGATAAGTTTGAGGTCAGGGTGGAGGATCTGGACTCCAGGCTCAGAGCTCAGAAACAACAGGTGCTGCTAGAAGCTGACAAAGAGCAGTGTAGAGCTGTGGAGGAAGCTAGGAGGCACCTTCAGAGAGAGCTGGAGGAGAAGCACCTGGAGGACATGGCCAAGCAGGTCAGTGAGGTTTTAGATGTGCGCAACCACTTGAACTCAGTAATCGACGCCATTGAAATCTCCAGAGAAAACATTCCACCCAGACACACCTGTGTCATGTTTTTCTCTTCTCACACGTTCATCATGACTCCTACCTAAAATCTTATCATTCAAAAAGGTACAAGTCACATATCCTGACTGTTTCCTGGTGTTTCAGGTTGAAGGTGCCGTAACTCGAGCTTACAATCGTTGGATTGAAGATCTGCCATCATTGCCAGAGTATCAGACCTTACTCCAGTCAGAAAAGGAGAAATGGGAGGAGCTACAAGAAAGAGTTACAAACCAAAAGGTTTTTGTCATTTTAAACAAGAGCTGCTGCTCTCATTCTTTGGTTTCTTTGATTATGAATCATTATTTAAACATTTCAGGTGTCCCAAGCCCTCAGGGAAGCAGAGGAGCTAAGGGGCAGGAGCCAACAGGAGGACCTGTGCCCTGGAGTGCAGGGAGTGGAGGAGCTTCAGGTGGAGTTAGCAGCTCTGAGGAGTCAGCTGGAGCAACTCACCAGAGAGCAGGCGGCCCTGCTGAGGGCTGAACTGGCTGGAGCCAGAGCAGCGTGGAATAGAGAAAAGCAGCAGGAGGTCTCCAGCATCCAGGTCCGCAGCAAACAAACGTACCAGACCAAGCTGCAGGAGGAGCGCAGACAGCTGGAGCAGGCCCTCCAGCAGGCCAGGGAGGACGCTGACCTCCAGAGGAAGGAGCTACTCCTGCAGATGGAGGCCAAGGTTCAGCAGACTGCGAGGGCACGAGAGGAGGAGTGGAGATGCCAGAGGCGGCAGATGAGAGAGGAGTTTATAGCGGAGCTTCAGACCGCACTGGAGCAAGTACAGAACCAGGTTCTTGGTCCTGATGAAACAGAGGAACAGACCAGTGGGTCCACGTCAGAGGTTACACTAACGCACATCATCAAAGCCTCGTGCAGAGAGATGGTGAACAGAGCCGCAGCAGAGGCCAAGAGGGAGTGCAGCAAAGTACGACCAAGCTGTTACATCATCTCTAAGGAGAACATTTACCAATTTATAATGTTATTTACTAATTTATGCAACCCTTTCACAGATGAGTGAAGAGCAGATGAGTCAGGTCTCAGCAGGAACGCCGGGGCAGCGCGTGATGGAAACCAACAAAATGAGTATGTATTAAATGTCCTCCATTCATTCTTTAATACAACAGCACCTCTCTTTAATGTGATTACTTATATTTGCAGATTCTGCAGCTCAGAGGAAGGAGCAGCCTCGCTGCAGCAGGGGGTGCTCTGAGATGTTCAGCAAGCTCCAGAAGAAGAACCAGGAGCTGCAGAGACACCTGGAGAAAACCTGCCGCCAGCTTCAGCTCAGCGTCCGAGAGCACAAAGCTGCCACGCAACACCTGAAAGGTACATTTAGTGAATGCAGAATGTTCTTCACCATTTAAGCAGCTGATGGTGCTTGTGGACTGACTGGATTCTGAAATTTAGATCAACATGAAAGAAGCTTACAGAAGGTGAAGGAGGAGCATCAGCAGCAGTTGGAGGAAGTGAAGAAAGCCAAAGAGTCCTCAGGGTTTGTCCATGTCTCTGCTGTGATGTCCAGACACTTTCTGGGCTCTTTAAATGACACAATTCAAGATTAAATCAACACTTAGTTTGGAAAATATTTTTTACATTTTCTTGTAGAAGTTCTGATCACCATCTTCAGCAAGGCCTTGAGGAGATGAAACAGCAGTACCTGGTGACGGTGGAGAAGATCAGAGGTTGGTGTGTCAGCATCTGTGTGTCTTCATCAAGTTGTCACGATGCGGTTTCATCCAACTGGTTTTAAATATTCTAGGAGACATGTTGCGCTACCTTCAGGAGAGCCGGGAGCGTGCAGCGGAGATGATTCGGATCGAGGTGCAGAGGGAGAGGCGGGACACTGCCAGACAGATGCGACGCTATTATCTGACCTGTCTGCAGGAGCTGCTGGAGGACGGGGGGAAGACCACGGGGCAAGAGGCTTTAATCGTCCTGAACTTGTTACCCTTCTCCAGTATCGCTCCTCCGGCTGATTGCATTGATCTTTTTGTCTCCTGCAGGGCTGAAAAGAAAATAATGAATGCGGCAAGCAAGCTGGCGGCCATGGCTAAAGTCCTGGAAACGCCCGTCAAAAGTAAATCTGGAAAGAACCACAGCTCACCAAGTAGGTCTTTAGGAAAACTGCAGGATATTCTTTCTGTCTCCCTAAAGTTCTGATGTGGTTCATGTTTGTGTTTGATTCATTAGGCTGTGCTGCTGCTGGCGCCGTGACAAGCAGAAACTCTGGTTTTAGTAAGAACCTGGCGGCGCTAACAGAACCTCTGGAGACCCACAGGGACAGGACTGCTTCTGATTCAGGGCAGAACTGCACCCCCACAGTTAGGACTAAACTTGTGAGCCATCGGGACCCTCCTCGATCTCAGGAGAACGTGGTGGATAAAGGACAACAGTCCCAAACCTCTTCACACACAATCCTCACTCCTCACAAGTCCTGTCCTCAGACGGCTACTCAGACCCACGTGGACTTCGTCAGTCTGTCTGTGAGGGGTAGAGACTTAGAGTGGCACATGCAGGGAAGCGACTCCAACAAGGAGTCAGGAAGACAGAACAAACCTTTCCTGGTCCAGGAGGCTCCGGTCAGAGAAGAGAAACCGTCCGACTGGAGCGTGGTGAGTAGCGACTCCAACGTCGTCTCCAGACTGTCGTACTTGGGGCGGAAAGTTGAACCCGTCAGACCTTTTTCTGTGTCTGCTGGTTCACCCAATGGCATAAGAGAGTTTGGTGGCCTCACTCCTGATGCGTCTGACCTAACCGTTTATAAGGACATTCCCACAACTGAGCCTCTCCCAAAGAGTTCAAACAGAGAGCCGATCCCTGGTTCTGAGTGTGAGGCTGAGCTCGGTGGTTCCAGGCCTCCGTTCTCTGAGCTGCGACGACAGCAGGACAGCGGCTTCGACAGTCCGTTCTACCAGCAGCACTAGGCAGGGTGCCTTTACTAGTGTTTCTGTTTACATGTGACCTTCTGAGCCTCTTAGTCTGTCGGATGAACTTACTAAAGAAACAGTTCTTCCTGTCAGTCACTAAATGATGTTACTGCTCCTATGAATCAGCAGCTTTTTCAACTAGAACGAGACAAAACTTTCCTGCACATTTAAGCCTGAAAAGCACCTTGTTGGGTCATTTATCACAGCGAGCTTGTTAATTATTGAGCTCTAAAGCTGCTTGTGAACTCTTCCCTCTGCTGTGCTGACCTAATCTCATAAAACTCAGCTAGGAGCATCACTCTTTCTGTCCGAGTCTCAAGAGCAAAGAGAGAAACACATTTCCTTTGAACGATTAAACTTTTACAACTTTCCTGTTAAAATGGTTTATTCTCAGACAGAAAAAGGTCCTGCCTATTAAAACATCAGCCTATTCTGTTGAAAGTGTGTTTGTTTTTAGATGTTTTATACTAGTTTGATAAGATGATTATTTATATTTGTGTTTGTGTTTTAGGATTTATAATACATTTTTTTCAAACTGAAAGCAAAGGATGTTTAAAGTCTTTTTTTTTTTTTTGGGGTGTCATCTGCTAAATAAATTCTGGGTTTCTTCCCAACCAGTCAGAGGAACAGAGTCTGTTGGTCTGAAGTTCAAAGTAAAGAAAACGGGAAAGAAAACTTTTCTCCAGCAGGTCAGCCTGAAGCAGCAGAGATGATTTATTCCAGACTTCTTCTTCTCATCTTGGTGTTCCAGCAGCTCTGAGAGCTGGGATTTACGACCGTCTCCCTCTCCATCACTACGCCTGTTTTGGATTCATCGCAGCCCTCCAGACGAGCACTCAAACACATTTATCTGGTAAAGTGTGAAACAAAAGCTTCAACAGCAGATTTTTCCTTTTGTCAGCAGATCATTGTGACCATTACTCTGCAGGTTTCCATCTTCTCTGCCTTCTGTGTGACACTCACGCCTAAATCCTTGTTTTTTATGTTTAGCACGACCGTTTTTAGCAAAAGCTTTAAGTGTGATAAATATTGAACGTTGCTGTAATGGCCACCCCCACTGGCTACCAGACAGACACTGCAGGGCAGCAACTCCCCATCTTCCCTCCTTTTCTAAACGCTGTTGGAAACTAGCGTGTTGTTCTGCTTGTTGCCAGAAGAGGGCGCAAATTCACAATTCTTTAACGGCAACAATAAAGTGTTTGAGAAAAGATTAGAGGAAGGATTTCTACTTCTTAACTCTTGTAACAAAAGTTTATTTTTGACCTAGGGCTGGGACGATAATCAAATAGATGAAAACGAACTCAATTTTTCCAGCCTCAACATATCAAGGGTCTACTTTACTGTTTTTGGTGCAATATTTTCTAACAGAGTGAGAGTCCTGTTTAATTTTATTTATTTATTTATTTTTGTAGAAGTTATGGTTCTGGACATTCCAATGTTAAATAAAGGTTTGTTGCATTTTAGAGGGTGTACTTGCATTATTGTGATATATTAACATTACATAAGTAATAATATAGTTTATCATCGCATGATGATCATTTGGGGGAGCCGTAGCTCAGGAGGTTGAGCGGGTTGTCCAGTAATCGGAAGGTTGCAGGTTCTATCCCGGCTCCGGACAGATAATTCTGCTGTTGTGTCCTTGGGCACTTAATCCATATTGCCTGCTAATGGTGGTCGGAGGGACCGGTGGCGCCTGTGCTCGGCAGCCTCGCCTCCGTCAGTGCGCCCCAGGGCAGCTGTGGCTACATCATAGCTCATCATCAGTGTGTGAATGTGTGAATGGATGAATGATACACTGTAGTGTAAAGCGCTTTTGAGCCGTCACTCTGAGAGGCGCTGTACAAGTGCGGGTCATTTATCATCATAATTTGTTGGACAATATATCTTCCAACAAGATGTGTTATCGTCGCAGGCCCATTTGGACAAGTGGTTTCCAAACTGGGGTCCACACAATGTCTGTGGGTTATGAGATTCCAAAGATTATAATTTCAAAAGTTAAATGTATAAAATCCCAATTACACACCCATAGAATAATCACAACTCTGTATAAGAGTTATAACTAAATGTCTGTATACATTTTCTAATTAATTACTTTCTATGTGTTTATGGGCGTGAGGGTTGGTGCTCTTGGCTTGTCCTCAAGGCAAAAAGGTTGAGAACCGCTGCTTATAAGTTTATGAGTGAAGTAACAAGTAAGTGAAGAGAAATGCGAATTTTACGTATTTGTTTTCCTAAATAAACTTTTTTAAGGGGGTATTTGCGCCCTCTGCTGGCGAAAAACAGAACACGCTGATTCCCAACAGCATTAAAAAAGAGGGGAAGATGGGGATTTACTGTCATCCAGTGTCTGAAAGCTGGTACTACAGTTTTGTTTATTTTAGCCATTTAGAAGAGAATAATTTAGCCTCCTTGACTTAATGAAGCTGTAAAAAATCTTGAAATTGTTTTCCCTTGGGAATATTAATGTTAAAGATGAAAGGAGGAGGTGTAGAAGCAGAAGAGGAACTGGATTTTAAATTTAAATTGTTGCTCAGTAGAAACACTTTCTCAAAGTTCCTCCAAATACTGTTTTATGCCTATAAAGAACGGGGCATAGCTGGCAAGTAAAATAATTTCATACTTTTCAGACACAAATCACAAAGTGCTTCAGACAAAACAAACAGAATATAATCTTTATTATCCTCTTGGGGCAATTGGTTTCACAGCCAATAGTGACAAAGAGAAGTGGCAACATAAAAACAACACCTACCACATACAACAGGTCATTTAATGTTTTAGAACTGCAGGGATAAAAGCGTTTCAGTCTGTTTGTCTTGACCCTTGAACAACAAGGTTATAGTAGCCTAAAGCATAAAGCTAGAAAATAAGTACAATCAGTCATCAGTAAAAGTGACTAGTGTTGGGGAGGGATTACGGAAAAGACAGCCAAAACTAGAGCTAGGAGACTAAAGGTGAGTGACTATCAGTTTTTGGCAGGTAGGTGCAGAGGGGGGCAAAACAGATGTAGTATAAACCAAACAGCAGAACCCATCCATCCATCCATGGCTCTGTTATCCACTCTGCTGGGGTCTGTTGGGGTGCAGGCAGATCTGACTGAGACAGGAAGAGCCTGAACAAGCTTGGTTCTGGGCTGCCCACTAGAAGAAGGATGCTGGGGAAGATGACCTCCATCTTTAAAAAAAAAAAAAACTCCCACCCACTACAAAGTGTATAACTCCTCAGTTTAAGTTGTACTGGCATCAATGCAATACTCAGTATGTGTTCAATACTTGAGCAATACCGGATTTACATAGAACGTTTTTGTCCCTTTTGCTGCATAGTTCTGGAACCCAAGTCTAATTTTTTTGTGCTTTTTAATAATAGCTTACTGCCTATGTGTATATATTATTTTTCTAAGTGTTGGTGCTGCTGTAACAAGTGAATTTCCCCACTGTGAGATCAATAAAGTTTATTCTATTCTATCCATCCGTTCTCTTCTGCTTATCCAAGGTCATGTCACAGGGGCAGCAGCCTGACAAGAGGCCCAGACTTCCCTCTCCTCAGCCACATGGACCAGCTCCTCCTGGGGAAACCTAAGGCGTTCCCTGGCCAGCTGAGATACGTTGTCCCTCCAGTGTGTCTTGATGTCACCACCCAATGTTCTTGATCATAGGCGAGGGTTGGAACATTGATCAGCTCTCTTCATCACAACAGACCGGTACAATATCTGCCTGTCGGTCTTGTGCTCCATCTTTTCCTCACTCACAAACAACACCCTGAGATGCTTAAACATCTCCACTTGGGGCAGGAACTCATCCCTGACCTGGAGAAGAAACTACCCTTTTTCGACTCAATACCATAGTTTTGATTTAGAGGAGCTGGTTCTAATTCCAGCCGCTTCACACTCAGCTGCAAACCGCTCCAGCAGTGAGAGCTGGAGATCACGTTCTGATGAAGCCTACAGGACCACATCATCTGTAAAAATCAGAGACTCAATACTTAGGCCACCAAAATGGATCCCCTAGACCTACATGCTATCTGCCATGTACAGTAGTGGTGTCTGGAGAAGGGACTGATCTTTATTTCTGCACCAGTTTGACAGAAATATAAATAAATGCCACTTTTTCATCAGTGAATAAGTTATAACTTTAATAACATTAAGTGAACAAACTATTTTGACTTGTTTACATTTAAAAATGGATCCATCAGCTAATAGATGAGTCATTTGGCTTGATTTAGCAAACAGAAAAGTCAAGAGGCTCAACTGCAGGTTATCTTTATGAACGTATTTAACTTCTAAGTAACTTATAGTTTTTGTCACATTGGTCTTTGATTAAACACTACCAGGAAACCTGAAATCTCTGTTTATATTTAAAACCTTTACTGCTATATGAGCATCAAGACCAAAGAGAAATTTCTTTGATGTCAAATGTTGTTATTTGTCTGAAGAGGATTGTATCATCTTCTTTAAGTTCTGATATCTTTTTATTAAATACATTTCTACGTCATCAAACATCTGGTCTGTGATCTAATCATTATTATGCATAAGAGGTACACCTGATGATGGCTCCTTTTATGTTAAATCGCGTTCAGTGTGAGCGAGTTGCTGCCTCCCTCTCCTGAGGCGCCGGACAGTTTGCCAGAACCTCTTTGGAGCCGATTGATATTCTTTCTCCATGGCCTCACCAAGCTCCTCCCATGCCCGAGATTTTGCCTCGGCAACTGCCACTGCTGCACCCCGCTTGGCTATCCGGTACCTGCCTGCTGCCTCCGGAGACCCACAGACCAGCCACGCCCTGTAGGCCTCCTTCTTCAGCCTCACTGCTCCCCGAACCTCTGGTGTCCACCAGCAGGTACGGGGGTTGCCACCACGACTGGCACCAGCCACCTTGCGACCACAGCTAGCAACAGCCGCCTCAACAATCGCAGAGTGGAACAAGGCCCACTCGGAGTCTATGTCCCCCACTGCTCTCGGGACGCGGTCAAAGCTCTGCCGGAGGTGGGAGTTGAAGACCGTCTTGACAGGTTCTTCTGCCAGGCGTTCCCAGCAGACCCTCACTATGCGTTTGGGTCTGCCAGGTCTACGCAGCATCTTCCCCTGCCATCTGATCCAACTCACCACCAGGTGGTGATCAGTTGACAGCTCCGCTCCTCTCTTCACTCGGGTGTCCAAAACATACGGCCACAGGTCAGATGATATGACTACAAAGTCTATCATCGACCTGCGACCTAGGCTGCCCTGGTACCAAGTGGGCATCCTTATGTTCAAACATGGTGTTCGCTATGGCCAAACTGTGGCTTGCACAGAAGTCCAATAACGAAGCACCACTCGAGTTCAGATCAGGCGGGCCGTTCCTCCCAATCACACCCCTCCAGGTCATGCTGTCAATGCCCACGTGAGCATTGAAGTCCTCCAGCAGGACAATGGAGTCCCCTGACCACCACCCCGGTCTGCCAATCCAGTGGAACTGCCCCCAATGTCCACGCGATAATGCAGAGCCGCGTCAGCCAACACAGCTCTACAACATCCAGAGCCTTAAGGAACCTCGGGAGGATCTCATCCGCCCCCGGAACCTTGTCACTCAGGAGCTTTTTGACCATCTCAGTGACCTCGGCACCAGAGATTGGAGAGCCCAACTCAAAGTCTCCAAACTGCTTCCTCACTGGAAAACACGCTGGAGGAATTGAGGAGGTTTTTAAGTACTCCATCCACTGATCCACGTTTCGTGTCGAGGTCAGCAGCACAAACGGTGTTGGTAGTGAACTGCTTTCCCCTCATGAAGCACCAGAATCTCCTCGAAGCAGTATGGAAGTCTTGCTCCCTGTCCTCCATTGCCTCTGCGACCACCCAAGTGGCATTCCGCTTGTTTAAGTTAAAGTTGTCACACACACTGATGTGTGTGCGAAATTTGTTCTCCACATTTGGCCCATGCCCTGGGGGAGTGGTGAGCTGCAGACAGCCGTGCTCTGGAACATTTGGTGGTTTAACCCCCCAATCCAACCCCTTGATGCTGAGTGCCAAGCAGGGAGGAATTGGGTCCCATTTTTTAAATAGTCTTTGGTATGAACCAACCGGGAATTGAACCCTGATCTCCTAGTCTCAGAACGGACACTCTACCACTAGGTCACTGAGGTGGTACTGAGCGCTTGGACTACTAGTATCCAACCTAAATGTTAAATCTAAACGTAAACTTTAAATCTAGCTGTAAATGTCCAATCTAATGTGAGCTATTTCTTTATTTGCTATTACTATTGCTAAGATACCCAATGAAGCATGTCTAGCGCAACTGGCCAACTTGTGTTTTGGCCACAAATCCCCAGTTTGATGGGTGTGGTTAATTTGCATATAATGAAAGTTTTAGATTTAACATTATTTGCTTTTCACTTGTCTGAGCAAAACTCCCCTGAACCATCTGCAGGTGGTTCAGAACGCCTGTGCTCGGTTTCTGACCAAGCCCTCCAAACACACCCACGTCTCCTCCAGCTTCATTGGCTGCCAGTCAACTTCAGGGTTCATTTCCAGATCCTGGTTGTGGTCTTTAGGGCCTTACATTGGTGATCTTCTAAGTCCCTATACCCCCTGCAGGTCCCTGAGGTCCAGTAACCAAAGTCTACTGGTTGTGCAGCACCAGGCAGACCAAAGGTGACAGATCATTTACTGCTGTGGCCCCCAGACTCTCAGAGCCTGAGATCAGTGGACTCAGTGGTCTCCTTAAAAAAGTAGCTGAAAACGCACCTGTTCAGGCTTTGGTGTGACCTTCATCACCACCCTCTGCTGATTATCTCAGAGACAATGTACATTTAAAATGAATAAACATCTACAACAATAAGTGTTCATGGTGAACTGATGCTTCATATTAGCACGGAAACACTGATTATGCAGAAAATTTCAAACCAACTTGGATCTGCATTATTTGATAATATGTTTTCGTTCTGGTTGTGGTGCATGATGTCCTGATCTACTCAGATGTACTCAGATTACCAAGGTAACATACAAGCTTGAGGTACAGAAAAAGGAGGAAACTATAAATGAACCTCACCTCTGATGCGACTAAAAAGAAAAAAACTTTGCTGCCTGGATGTAAATAAAGAAGATCCCGAATCAGAAAACCGATTATGAAGATTATGATATGACCATGTTCAGTCAGTAACTTTTAAGTTCCCACAAAGGCTCAGGGGATGGTTTTACAGGATGGGTATTTTCATCTTTGTTCAAACTTGGTGGTACTCCACATAGAGAAAAGTCAGAAATATGTTTTAATTTATAATCTGCACTAGTTAGGTAAAATAACTTTCTCTGTGGAAAGATCAGCAGAACTTTCGAAGCTTAGCGATGTTCTGCTGTTCTGGAGTCAGATCTTGGTGCAGATGTGAAGGGCTGTTGTTGTTTGCACAATGAGAACTTGTGTCAGCAGCTCCACCCCATATGTCATGTCACCCACCACCGATCAGACCGCGCACATGGGGTTGAGTTTCTTCTCCCGGATTATTACCTGACTCTTATTAGGATGTTTCCGTTTACTGGTGGATTTTGCACATGATCCCTGCTTGTGTGTGGAGGAAACAGCGTTATGTGCAGTTTGCGCGCTCTTGTTGCGGGTGGCGTTCTTGCGTAATAATTGTTTTGATCAGCAAGGGACGACCGACGACGCAACACGCGAGAACCTCGGTCATTAAAAGAAGTGTGCGTTTACTCATGCCCGAGGAGTGGATGGTCGGGGGAGAAAACCCCGATCTGACAGTTGGAGCGATCCCGGGAGCGAAGGAGGGGGTTTGCGGGCCCAGAGGCTGGAGGCTGGAGCCGAGCGCCGCCCTCGAACCGAGCGTCTGAACTTTGGCACATATTTCAGAGACGATCCGAACAGTTTCCTCCACCCCTGGTTCTGCTCCCCACTAACATGTACATGTGGCTGACGGCTGTGGCCGGCCTTGCCGTGCTGGTCGTGTCCTACATCAGGAACTTTTATCCTTATTTTGGAGAGGATTGTGCCTACATCCTGAAGAGCCTCCGGCTGGGTTTAAGACTGATCAGGTACAAGAGGTCCAGACCATTCTACAGCATCCTGGACCGCTTCCTGGACGCAGTGAGGACTCACCCCACCAAGACCTTTATCCACTTTGAGGGTCGAGCCTACTCTTACGCGGAGGTGGACAAACGGAGCAATAAGGTGGCCAGAGCCTTGCAGGCTGAAGCCCGGCTGAAGCAGGGAGACACCGTGGCTCTGTTTCTGCCCAACGAGCCCAGCGTCGTGTGGGTTTGGCTCGGTTTAGCCAAACTGGGCTGCCCGGCTGCTCTGCTAAACTTTAACATAAGGTCCAAATCTCTGCTGCACTGTTTCTCCTGCTGTGGAGCCAGAGTGATCATCACTTCTCCAGGTCAGATCCACAAAGCAACGTCACTGATACTCTGGTTTCTGTTATGCAACAGCTGCTCTTTGAGCATTCTCCAGTTGCATTTTATAAAGAAGTTCTAGACTTTTTACCCCAAAGATCGTTTAAAGAGTTGCTGACAAATGGAACAACCTTTAGTAATAAAACAGGATGCAGAAAAGAGAACGCGCCAACCTAGGATTAAAACATGTGACTTAATTGAATAATCCCTAGAAGTCACCTTGTTTATATACATTAGTGGTAAATATGTGATTTCTCAATTGAATTAACAAACAGCTCAGATTAAAGCTTACACAACTAAATGTTATCTTTTCACAAAAGGTAACTTTTCATCACGCCTGTAACATCATGTACTTCTAAAAGATGCCTGCAGGCCACTGATACTATCTGATGGCCAAAAATCTGTTTTACCGCCTTCAGTGAACATCCTGCAGTGGCACAGTGGATTATTTTATGATTTCTCACATGAACAGGGTTTAGCTTCTGAAATACATTCACCCTTAGTCGGGTCTAAAGTCCACCTCTCTCCTATTGATTTAGCAGACCTTTGAGGTGGAACATTCATCTGGGTTCATCTTGTTTCCCAATCAGCTGATTAATGTGGAGAATTTACAGATTGAGTTTTTGCTTTCCACCTAAAAGTTTCAGATCAGCAAATGTTATTTTTTATATAGTTTAAAATGCTGATTGAAGGCATAAAAGTGGTCCAAAACAAGTCCACGCACTTTGGATGGTACCCATTTAAGGTCAAAGGTCACATGTTTTCCATCAGGATTTTCTGGTTGGGAGCAGACTTCATGGTTACAGTTAGAGCACGTGGTCCAGGCCCTGAAGCGGCGAAGTGGCCCCAGACCATCACATGACCACCACCATGTTTGATTTGATGCTCTTGTTCTGAAATGCAGCACTAGTTTTAGACACATACCCGCCAGAATGTTCTACTTCTGTCTCATCCGTTCACAAAATGTTTTCTTGTAGATCATCAAGAGGAGTTTTGGGGAATGTGAAGCTGACCATGCTGGTTTGATTTAATTTGGTCAGCAGAGGTTTTAACTCGGATCTCTCCCATAGAGCCTAGTTTATCTCCCCTGTTCCCTTTCTTATTATTGGAACCATGAACTTTGACCATAACCATAACCAAAAGAGCCCTGCACAGCTTTAGCTTTTTGGGGGTTCTTTTGTTCCCGAAGTCCCGTAGAATGGCAGCCTAGAATCAAGACCGTCATTTGACAAAGCAAAATAGATTCTCATATTTAGGATGGCTTGCAAGGTTAGAAGAATGGGGCATGTGTTGCCTTTTGAGATCTTTTAGCCTACTTCATGTTGTCAAGTCAGGTTCTGTTGAAAGGATTTCTTAAATCTAGTTTCTTTTTGTTCATGAATTTTATGGTAAAAAGCTGTGAAATATGTGTAAAAAATACATTTTCATCACTTTTCTTTTTTTTACTGAACTGAACCACATGAAACTCCTGTCTCAGTGCAGTCCCTTAACATGGTACATAATAGCATATGCAGAGTTGCGCAACACTGCGCCCTGAGTGTTTGCATGTGTGTGTTAGGCTTAAACTCTCTTGTGTGACTGCAGAGTTGCAAGAATCTGTGGAGGAGGTCCTGCCAACGCTGAAGGAGGAGGGTATCCGCGTGTACCTGCTGTCTGATAGCTGCAGTGCAGAAGGCATCAGCTGTTTGTCCAACGAGATCGATAAGGCCTCGGATGAGCCGCTGTCCAAGGACCTGAGGTCCAACATCCACGTCAGGAGTACCGCTCTGTACATCTACACATCTGGAACCACAGGTACATCAGGAAACTACAGCTGTGGCCAAAGGGTTTGAGAACGATGCAAAAATTGTCACAAAGGTTTTAGCCTGAAGAGCTCTTTTTTAAAATCTTTTTGTGAGAATTATTTATAAGCATTCTCAAATAAGTTGACTGCTATTTTATTTTGTTCAGCTTGATTCGTTAATGTCATCAAAATGTTACATTTTCTTGGATATAAAAAATACTGCTAAAGCTGTGTTAGAGTAACGGGAACTAAATACAGATATTATAAAAGCAGAACGCAGCATGAAGATGAATCTTGCATTTAGACAAGCATCACTTTAAACCTGACTGAAACCAGATCCAGATCTTCTTATAGTTTTAAAATCTGATTGTAGTTCTTTAGTTTTAGGAGGGTTAAACAAGTGCAGCCTCTGTGCTGTGTGAAACGTGTTGTAATCTAATCGGTTCCTCCACACAGAACCACCTCACTGACACAGCAAATGGATTTATCTGAAGTCAGAGTTTACTCACTCAACCAGACGCTTGTTTTGCTCAGCAGCTGCAGTCCTTATGCACAGAGACACACATGAAATCATTCATTTGGTTATTTTACATGTTTAAATGTGTGCTTATTAAAAAAGGCTGCAAAACAAATATTAAGAAAATGTTAATCTTTTTGTTTTTACTCCACACCCAGCGTATATGGTGTCTCTAGTCCACTGCTGCACAGATTATTTCTAGCTTTTTAGCTGCTAAATTCTCCATCATGTTCACCAGCTAGCTGCTACCTAACTGTGTCTCTAAACCAGCTGCCTACCTGCCGCCTTGCTGTGAGCATGAGCGGTAACCGCTGTTTCACCCAGCGGAATGATCAGATCCTGATTTCGGTCATTGTTTCGAAACGCCAGCCAGCTAGTGTTGTTTTACAGGGAAACCTGAGCTGAGTAGTGGATCTGTTTGTGATAGCTGTGCTGTGATCATGAAGGTTTGCCTAAAGCAGCCGTTGTGACCCACGAGCGGGTTTGGGCCGCCTCCTTCGTCCAGGCAGCATGTGGCTCTACAGCAGAGGACATCTTTTACATCAATCTGCCGCTCTATCACAGCGCGGGCTTCCTCATTGGGATGATTGGAGCCATCGAGAGAGGTAGTGACCCTGTTGACCCTCATGGGCACCCAGAAGATGGCAGGTTTCAGTGACGCTCTGGTAATTGCAGGCATGACCACCGTCCTGAGGAGAAAGTTCTCTGCCTCTCAGTTCTGGGACGACTGCAGGAAGTACGATGTAACAGTGATGCAGTACATCGGTGAAACTCTACGTTATCTCTGCAACTCGCCCAAGGTAACACTCTGCACCTACTTAGCGTCTATTACTGCTCTGGTTTTTCTGTACGTCTCACTAAAATAGGACTAATTGCAGAAAGAAAATGAGAAGAATCACAAAGTGAGAATCGCGATTGGCAACGGAGTGCGTAGTGACGTCTGGACAGAGTTTCTGAATCGATTCGGGGACATCAAAGTCAGAGAGCTCTACGCTGCCACAGAGGGAAACATCGGCTTCATCAATTACACCTCCAAGATCGGTGCGGTGGGGCGTGTTAACTTTGTGCACAAGGTATGAGGCTATTTCATGTTCCTGTATACTCTCACCCATCCACTGTAGTCCTCACACCTGATTGGACACTTTCAGTGACAGGAGTTAGAGCCCAGGAATTCTCTTCAAAGGATTTGGATTCTGGATTCAAAATTGTCAGTTTCTGTTCTAGCCCTCCTGGTAAAGCATCCCTGGATCTCAAATTTTTGTAATTTAGTGATAAAGCTATCTGCGTGCTTTGAAACCACTTTAGGTTCAGTTAAAACTGGCAGCATCCAAAAGGACCCTGTAATGGATGTTTGTTCGCTCCATCAGACCTGATCTGAATCAACAAACACACTTCGACAGAACTTAAAGGCACAATGAAGCAGTAATCAATGTACAGGGGCGTGCTTAAGAAGGGAAACATCTAATATGCACACGACAGTGGCTCTGAAGAACCAGGATTGGACACAGTTTAGTAAAATGCATGTACCGTAAATCCTCTAATACAGGCCCGGGCCTGTATTTGACTCAAGCTCATCAAGCTCCAGGCCTTTATTGGAAGGAGGACCAGAACTAGAGGCAGGCCTCAATTTCTATTTGAGCAAAATGAACTAATGGTTTGCTGGAGTTTTTGACAATTAATATTGCGCCCACATTTACAAAGTTAAACACATTTCTTTTAACAACGGTAGTTTCTGCTTCAGCCATCTCCCCCCTCCCCCTGCGCAGCGGCCGCAAACTCACTGATGCGCCTGCAGCCTCTCAGAGTTCCTGCTGCTCTAAACATTAAAATAATTTTTTCATTTTCTGTTCCTCACTTCTGATTACCTTCAATGGTGTCTGTTTGTTGCAACCACCAGGTACAAAAACTAACTTGTTTTTATTTGACTATTTTTCTGTCCTGCCTGTTTATTATCTTCCTGCATCTCCTCTCAGTCCTAAAGAAAAACTGCTACCTGGGTTCATATATATTCACCTTATGAGTTACCTTTGAACTGCAGTTCTAAAAGATCTACCGACCACAAAAACTGCAGAGTGCTCGCCGGCCACATCAGTTAGGTAAGTCACTGAGGACAAAACAGGTGATGCCCCCGATCCACAGCAGCGAAATGCATCAGGCACAAATAAAAGAATAAAAGACAGGAAACATAAAAGGAAATGAGCAGACATGAACGATCGTGTGTTAAATTAGTTTTTGAGGTGGCAACACCTGATTTGATAATGTTAATGTGGCGGTGCCCAGGACGCAGATGTCTGGAGCGTGTCAACAATCAGAGCTTTGCATGCGCAAGTTGGTTAAGGTTAGGATGGGGGTGAGGGGAAGGTTAAATTGCAAGAGGGTAAAGGTCACAATTTGGTTAAATGTCTGTTTTACAGCGGGTGTCAGTACAGACGCTCTGACACAGCGCGTTGCCTCCCGACGCCCAGGAGCTTGTCACCTGCTGACAGCAGGCTGCTGTCTTTTCCGTGGACTGCATCTTGCCGGTCATTATCACGTGACAGCAACTAGTCAATGACAGGCATAACAAGTCACTATAGGGCGGTGAAGTCGACTAGTGACTAGTTCATACAACCCCTGCTACTGCTCCCCAGAGTGTTCTGCAGCATAATCAGCATGTTCTCTTTGAACTTGATATCAAATTTTCGCCTCCTATTCGTCTCCGCACGGTTAAAGTTACCCTCGCGGTCTATCACTGGCAAATCAAAAGTGAGACGGATGACACAACCGCCCCCTGTACTTGCTTGTTACCACATTCCACCCAGCCACAATAAAAAACTGGCCATTATTCACCTCCGCCGACTCAGACACCGGCCAAAATATGATACCCAGCAGTTAATTAAATACAGGCTAATATTAGAGGATTTACGGTATTACATATTTATTAGAGATGCACCAATTCTGGTTTTGAGGGTCATAACAATTCCTTTCTTGCACAGCTCTTGATCTGCTGATACAAATTTATATCTAAATACTATAACCCTCTCAAGCTCAAAATATGTTTTGATAAAAGGATGAACAACTAAGTCCTTCAGGGGTACTTCTGAATTAAAAAAATGCTCATGAAATACGTATGTGGAGTAACCAGGTAGGTAGGTTTTAATGTTGCAAATCTGCAACGCCTGCCTCCAGAGGGGTAAACAACAGAATACACTTTTAAAACTTCTGATTAACTAGAGATTTCTGGTTCTGGAAGCAAAACCATCTGTTGTTGCTCGGGGAAGTTAGCGCTTAGCGAACTTCGGCTTGGATGACCACTAATCAAGCAGATGTTGGTGAATTTCTTACAATGAAACATCTTAACATTTTAAAATGGTGACATATCAGATGTTGCCTTTGACTTGCCAACCACCAAGTCTTTTTTTAAATTATTTTGGTCTGTCCCAGTTTTTCTTCCCTTTCACACTGATCAAGTTTGACATCGATAAGGAGGAGCCAGTCAGAAACTCTGAGGGTCTCTGCATCGAAGCAGGCACAGGTGAGTCACCAGACCTCTCTTTCACCTGGACCACGTTTATTTTTACTATATGCCCTCTAAAACATTCTCACTCTTCTCCCGTGTTGCTCAGGTGAAACAGGACTTTTGGTTGGAAAGATAACCCAGAGGTCTCCGTTTATTGGCTATGCTGGCAACAAGCAGCAGACCGAGAAGAAGAGGCTTCCTGACGTGTTAAAGAAAGGAGATCTGTACTTCAACAGCGGCGACTTGCTTCGGTTCGACCACGAAAACTTTGTGTATTTTCAGGATCGAGTTGGTGACACTTTCAGGTCATTTGCTCTGATGTTTGTTGGTTTTCTGATGGATTGTGGCACAGATTTGGTCAGATTATTGCTTTCAAGCTTCCTGTCCAACGTCTAATTTATCTGATTACAGGTGGAAAGGTGAGAACGTCGCCACGTCAGAGGTTGCCGACATAGTGATGATGGCTCAGTGCATCTTGGAAGCAAATGTTTACGGGGTTAAAGTTGAAGGTAAAAAAAAAAATCACAAAGAAGCTCTAAAACTATTTCAATTCTTTCTTCGGTCTGTTTTTTTCTCCTAAATTTGGTTCTAGAACTTTAAAAAAGTATTTAAAGGGGAAAAAGGAAAGCCTGTTAAAGATTACAGTGGATTTATTTTGTCGCCATTGATCATTTTTCTCTGCTCTACATTACTGATGTGCTGAACCACTGTGAGAAGGTCACGAGGGGCGGATTGGCATGGCAGCAGCCACTCTGAGGGAAGGAGAGAACTTCAACTGCACAGACGTCTACAATCAGGTCGTCAACTACCTGCCAGCTTATGCAAGACCCAGATTTATTCGAATTCAGGTAAAAAAATGAAATAAAATCCAGTTTGCACAATAATTATTCAAGACAAATAAATACACGCACTTTAAAAGCAGTACAAGCGTTAAAATCTCTTAAAGGAGTTTCCTTGAAAGAAAAGCAGCTTTGCTTTTAGACTTGGTCCAGCGAGCAGGTCTGTCACCGCTGTTAGCTACAGATGTGTTGGGCAGTAAATCACAGACGTATTTAGACCTTCGGTGCTTCATCGACAAGTCGATGGATTTTAAAACCGCTCCTTTGACACAGGGAAAGCGAGAGCGGTGATTTAAGGAGCGCTGTAATGTGTTCCACCTTTTGGAAATTAATGAGGACTCAAGCAGCAACAAGACGGCAGCTGTTCTGTTTGATGAATGCGGTCGGGGGCCGCGACTGCAGACTCCACTCAGCTGAAAGGCTCCCGTAGATAAAACAAGACAAACTGTAGAAGTTGGGAAATCAAAGGAGGGAGCTGCAAAGCGCCGTCTGACAGCAGCGGGATGGATGATCCTGGATTTGATGGAGGTTTAGATGTAAACGGACGAAATGCAGTTTGAAATGCTAGTTTAATTGTGAGAACAGAAAAGTAATAGTCTGTGTTTTGGTTTATTTTTAGCTTTAAAATAAGTGTCTACACACAGAGTTGGCACAGAACTCACACACTTTAACCTGAGTCACTCCTTCAGTATGTCAGGAAGCTCTAAAGTAACGCTCCATGTTTTGTGGAATCAGAACAACCACAGGTAACATCTTTGATTACATGAACATTTCAATAAATGCTTGTGTACAAAAATGTTGCCCAAGATGCTTTCATTGTGTTGACAGTAGGAAAACTAAAACTAGATGTGGAGACATTTTTCCACAGGATCACTTGCTCCTTTACATTGTTTTCACAACCAAGGTGTGCCTCAGGGTCATGTGTTTGGAACCATCTATTCCAAATCCTCCAACACCGGCTTCATTTCCTTTCTGTGACCTCGACATACAATACCAAACCATTTCATGAACACCTCCCGACTCTAGCCAGTAATCCTTGGCTTTCTTGCAAAAATCTTTTGTTTTCCTAACCTCCTGGATACAGGGCTGCGAAAGAAACCTGAGGTGTTGATGAACAAATAAAATAAAATCCGCTAATTCTTCTAACCTTTACTGGATCCCAACAGAGTTTAGGGGACCAATAAAGTATACTGTACTCTATGTACCAAAGTCTACAACCTTGCTTCTCCTTGGCTTTATGACTCCTGCTAAATGTGAGTAAAATTCTTGTTTTGCAGCCCTGCTTGGAGATGACGGGAACATTCAAGATGAAGAAAGTGAAGCTGGTGGAGGAGGGATTCAATCCTGCTCTCATTAGAGATACGTTATACTTTCTGGATTCAGAGACAAAGACTTACATTCCTCTAACAGATGAGATCTACGAGGCCATCATTTCGATGGAAATCAAACTCTAACATGAGCTTAAGTTCTACATAAAAGCTTGTGTTTGTTGGTTTTAATTTAAGACACAACAGCTCTTAATAATCCACTAATCTCAGGGACAAACTCAAAAACACATCATGTTTGAAGAGACTATTTTTACTTACACAACTGTCACAGCTTTATTTGAACCACTTCTTTAATAAAAAACATGTCTGTCTTCTCTTAAGGATGTCAGCAATTTATCAGTTTACCTGTTTTATCCTGTTAAAATGACTGAGTCAAGTGTTCAATGGTGATGAGGGTTTTGTTTTATATCAACAATAAAATGAAGTGGAAATGGAGGCTTTTTATGGAATCAGGACTTTTCTATAAGTCTCCCAAATGGTGTTTAAAAAAATCAGAGCAGATCTGTTTAAACAGAAGTCCAGGCAGAATGGCTGGTGGACAAGAACCTACAATAACTGAAGCATGGGAGTGGCTGCACAATGATGTGGTGGTGCTTACAAACAACGTCAAAAAGGCTGGTTTTAACGCAACCTGAAGCTTATTGTTCACTATTTAGCACAACAGAAGACCCAAGTCTTGACCTTTGGATTTACCTTGGTGTGACAAGGAAAAACCAAAAGCACTTTGGTTTACGTGACATTTACCTCCCCGAGTTTGTGAAAAAAGAAGAGAACTAAATACATACCGTATAGGATTTGAAAAACAAAGGTAGACTTGTGGGATTTGGCACATTATCTGATTAAATTGTGTGCAAACATCCCCCAAATTCACACATTCAGCTCTGTGGCTACCTCTGTGGCTGAACTTTCACACTTAACACCAAATAAGATGAATCAGGATTTGTAAACAGACCTAAAGATTATCAAACTGGATGCATTTCATCGATGAAGTGTAATAAATGAAATTAACTTACAAAGTTGATTAAAAAAACTTTTTGTTGCATCTCAACAGTAACTCAGGGTAAACTAGTGAAGAAACCTGTCAGTTACAACTTTTTAAAAGTGAATAATTGGTATGTGAAGAAAAAAACTTCCCGGCTGTTCAGCTGTTTGTGTTTAAATATAAAAACATGTTTGGAAGCAGCTGTAAATGATTTTAAATGCCTGCAGCCTCTGAGCCACACCCAACACTTTACAGTGTTTACATTTAAAAGGAGCGGAGGAAATAAACCACTCAATTCCAATAAATGCTTACTTTATAAATGAATTTATTTAGTAATACAGTGGTATACTTAGAAATGTGTTGCGAAGAAAAAAGAAAAAAACGGAACCAAAGTAAAAAATAAATAAATAAAAAGACTGTCAGCCACACAGGAAAATAAAACTAGTGTTGGGTTGAAGCAGTGTTATCATATCAAAAGAAAAATAGTACTGATGTGCCATAATAAATTGTCTATTAGTACAAAAATACATTTCAGGGCACACAATACAGCATCCAGTATCACAAATAAAGGAAGGGACCACGCTTCACAGCAGCCCCCCTTAAGTACTTCTTTTAAAATCAGTTAAACCAAGCACTTCTCTAGTTTGTAAATAAGAATAAAAAGTTTTCTGACAGTTAAAAATGCCTTAAGTAATGTATCTGTCTGTGTGTATATGTTGGTAGAAAAGTCGGACTTATTACTGCTTGTGTCAGTTCCAAGGCTCAGGGGTATAACCAGAATACAAACATAACCAATGTAACCACTTTCTCTTTTTAACAAATGTTTTCTCTTTTATACAAAATAACAAAGATGTACAAAAGTTCATTTACAGAGAACCAAGGCCATATGCTAGCGGTATTTACAGCCACAATTTAAACATCTTCTAGCTTTGTGTCATTTCCTCAGACTTCATATGCATAGCAGTAAAACAAAGCATACCGTTTTTCATCAGCCCCAATTATCCTCGTGTGCTAAAATCCGAGTTCGCCGTCAGTGAGAAAATGCAGACGACGTTTTCTTTCCGTGGTGATCTTTACAACTCAAGGATCTGATGTTCGAAAGATTCACTGAAAAGTTAATATGCAGATAAGGCATCACTGCTTGCAGTGTACGATGGGGTTTTTATGTGTTGAACTTAGTAGTAGCAGGCTTCTGGACCTGAGTCATAGCACATGCATAGATCTCTAGACAGCAGGAGTTTGTAAAGTCAAGTCAGTATATTTATCTACGATAAAACGTTTCTACAAAACAGTAGTTTAACCAGAGAGCACCGCGTCCCAACTAACGGGCTCCTGATGCTAATACTTAACGTTCATTCTTCATTATTTTCTAATCTGTTACGATGCTTACACTTTCCTTCATGAATCAGACTCAGGAAGTCCTCATGAGTGAAACGCATGACCACTGACCTCACAAACAAAAGTTTTGCATATACAAACTTTGCTGTTTGTGAGTATTTTATTATTTTTTCTTCTACAGTACACAAAAATCTCATTGCAATATTAAATAAGTTTCCAAAATAATTTTTTTCCTTGCACTGCACTAGCCTTTTACAAAAATTAGCTAAAAATGTCAAAATGGCACTGGTCATGCATTCCAACTTCAGTCGTTTTGTTTAAATAATGTGTTTTAATGTTTTATTTATTTTTTATTTTTTGCAAGCCTTGAAAGCACCGAAAACAAAAAACAATATGATAGAAACTAGCTCAAGTCCAGCCTTGTGGGTTGCTGAACTCAAGACTCTCCTCGTGTGTATGTGTGTGTGTGTGAGAGAGAGAAAAAAGGTGTGTTTTCTTTCCTAAATTTTGGGCACAGTAAACAATGTGAGAAGATGGAGTTCATACTTCGTGGAGAGGTGTGCGCCCCGTAGCGCTGCAGGGAGCACAGCGTGGGCAAACGGAGGTCCCCTCAGTTTATCACATTCAGTAACAGACCAGCTGTCGCTCTCTTCAGAAGTGGTCAATGAGCACAGACACGCAGTTTGCACCCACCAGGTAGTTTGGATCTCCGGGAAGGGATTTGTTCTGCCAGGTTTTAGGATCACCTGCCAAAAATACACACACAATGGTAAGCTGCTTTAGCTTTAAAATACAGAAAAAAAGGTCCAAAGTAGTGAATTTTGCATGACTGTTAAAGAACACGAGTTTCACTTTATATGAAACATACTGAATTATGCAGAACTGATCATGAGTTCTTGTGAAAGATCATCAGAACTGAACTCAACTGGAACACCTTGTAGAAGTCAGAGATTCCAGACTGGGAAAGCTTTGATAATAAACTATAATCTGTCATAAAATATGCCACACATAGTGCATCTATAAGGAAATACGTTGGTATTAGCCTCTATTGCTAATAACAAGTAGCCTAACCAAGTACAACAGTTAGCATGCAAATTTTCTGACTTGTACCTGGAATATAGTTAAGCTGGATATGTTCTTCCCACATCTGAGGTCCAACCTCCATGGTAAATGGGACACAGCCTGAGAATTAACATTGCTACTGGGAAAATAAACCTAGACAATCTCTGACAAATCAGTGCTGCAACAAGAACAGCCCTAGCTGCCTTTCTAACTAATCCTAAAGAGTATTTTTACACTGAGGCTCAAGTGAAAATCTGTCACATAGTAAGACAACATTAAAGAGACGAGCCCCCCTAGAGATCAGATAAAATGATAACTAGACAAATCACAAACACAGAGCATTGATCAAAGGACAGACAGTAAAGAGGCACTGCAGCTTTTAAGGAGGTCGGCGGCATACTAGAAAAGGGCGGTGTGTCAAATATAACAGATTCTGTCAGATAAGAAGTAATAAATGAGCCGTTTACAACCACTGAACAAACATTACATGTCATTTTTGTTGAAATGAGTGGTCTTTGTTAGGCATCTTTAAATAAAACTCTGCCAAAAAGTAACAGCTTATGATGTTAAACTTCAGTCAGATTTGGTTTTCGTCTGCGTGCAAATAAACATTTTCATGAGAGTTCATAGTTGCAATTGAAGCTTTATAGAGTTAAATTAACATCAGTATGGAAGAAGTATAGTCTCACCTATATCTTACGTTTTTAAACGTTGTTTTTATTTAGAAAAATTTATACATTTTAAATTCTTTTTACTTAAAATAAACCAGCAACATTTTCATCCGTAAAAATTCACCAACAAATGAGGTGACCTCCTGGTGACCCTGGCCAAAGCAATTGTCACTCAATTGAGTCAAGTGGCTTTTAACCAATCGAATTACGCTTCTCTAATCATGTGACACAAGTACATTTGGCTAGGCTATAGGAGCTTCTCTTAACAGTAACAAAGATGAGTGAAGAGGCATATCTCTTAAAGCCATACTATGCAACTTTTTCATATTTTTAAATTATTTGATCAGTTATGTGCTAAAATGACACTTTTCAAGGTTATGAAATGTCACTCAGACCTCCACCGCTACTTGTGGACAGAATACCACATCTGCAACTTCAGGCTGGCGGGCCGCCATCTGTTGGACTTGACAGTTCTAGTGCTGCTGTCTGCTTCCAGCATGTTTCCTGATCGTGAACACAGCTGATTTGTTTAATTAACTGATAAAGGCTCCTGTGGACACTAATGAAGGCTGGGAAGACATTTCAGCTATTAGATATGGTGTTAAAAAGACGAACGCACAGTGACGAGATACGTTTTTCTTTTGGTTTGACCAGATAATTAATAACGGACACTAGGTGGTGCTAAAAACAAGCCAAACTGCCAGGTGTGCCTTTAAACAAAGGCCCAATCTCAATACTCGCACTGCGCCCTGCACTGTTCAGCAAGTGCATTTGGAGAAAGTGCGCTGTAAGGCTTCAAGTGTGTAGTACACAAGTGTGCAAGTAATTGCAAAATTGAGACAGGGAGCATTGCGTCATCAACCGCAATGCATGCCAGGATTCTGGTCGCTGATACTTTTTTTTAAACCTTTATTAACAACTTTCGAACAAACAACCAAACAATTATTTGAAATAAATTTACATTTATTGCCGCTTTGTCTAAAAGTTTCTGAGATTCAACTAATCGTTCTAAAATTAACAACTTTCATTAGAAAATACATATTTTCAAAAAAGGCACTTGAGCCTTTTCTCCTGCAGCAATGCATTGTGGGTAATACCCTTCACCCAAGTCTGCATCGCTGCAGACTTGGGTGAAGTGCGGATCAAGGGTGAAACTTCCACATTTGAGAATCGAGACACCCTACGCACTCGCACCCCTGGTCGGGATTGTGCAATTGAAGGGCGCAAGGGTGGAAGTGCGAGTACTGAGATCAGGCCACTGATTATTACTAGGGCTGTCGCGATTGAGGAATTCCCCCTGCGGTGATTCAGGGTGGCTTAATATTGCGGTGTGCGATATTATTGCAGCCCTTTTTTTATTGCAGTACCATCTAAACATAATGTTTACACATTTAAAAAAGGTTAAAAATTGCCATGCCTTCTTTTGTAACACTTTACTGAATGCAGATCAAAGGGCAGTAACAACACAGATCGCAGTAACGTTTGTTTCTCCGACAGTCGGAGTCTGACTGAACTTAAAAACAACAAAATTCAGGAGAAAGTTAAAACTTTTAAATGCAAATTTGGCTGCAGCATCTAACAAATAAGAAACAAGTCCCCATTTTGTTTAGTTGTTTAAAATCAAGCATAAAAAATTACATGTACCGGGTGCGCGCGCGCCGGGGGGGGGGGGGGGTGGGGGGGGGGGGGGCACTATCATTTTACTTTCACACACACGAATGACGGTGATTTATAGCTCGGTCACGTCCTTGTTACCTACAAGGAAAACCAGCATGTTAACCATATACGGTTTGAGAGAGGATCTGAGAGGGGTGGCAACATTTCCAGCAACACTGAAAACCCTCTCGGATGGTGCGCTCGTTGCACTAACGCACACGTACTTGCGTGCGACTCTGGCGAGCAAAGGGAATCTCTCCCGGTTGTTGCTCCACCAAGTCAAGGGGGTTTCTTTAGGGTGGATGCATTCCTCCTGCAGGTAGCGAGTGAGCTCCAGCTCGGCTCAAACTCTCTTCAGGACGGTTGCAGAAGCAGTGCTTGTCCGGGACTTCAGCAGGTCTCCGAGCGTTTGTTTATTTATTTATTTTTTTGCCGCTGGTGGCAGCTCTGTCTGGGCTAAGGACTCTGGCTGCGCAGCAGCTGACCTACTGAAAACCGAAGTGCTCCCAAAGGAGCGAAGTAACGTTTCGTTTTGATACGAGTGCAGCCATCCTTCTCAACATGCATCGAGTTGAACCAAGTTCAGTAATCGCGGTGGCCCATGATGCAGCGCGGTGGGTTTCTTCATATTGCGATATTTCATTTTTGCGATTACCGCGACAGCCCTAATTATTACAGATGTTTTATTTTTCTCATCTACACAATTGGATGAGTAACCATCAGAGTCCCACAGATAGAATGAATGGAATGCAGAAGATGTGGCAATTCCAGCATTTTCGCCGTGTTCTGAATAATCTCCTCTGGTAAGTTGATGCCATTACAACACCTTTTGGAGGCCGCGCACCATTTGGACACCTCGCTGGTGTTGCGTGATAAGAAAAGTGTAATATGATTGGCTAAAAGCCTCTTGACTCGATCGAGTGACGATTGCTTTCGCTTGCGTCACCAGAAGGTCACCTCAATCAATTTCAGACGAAATTTTTATGATGGAATTCTTTTGCTGAATTTTTACAGACGATAATTTTGTTGGTGTATTTAAAGTTAAACAATTCAAATGCATAATTTCAGAGGATTAAAATTGAATGTATAAAAAAGCCATATTGTGGCGAGACTGTGTTGATTCACAGCAGATGAATTTTCTGTTCTTGTGAAGCGCCTCAGAATTTTTATCTCAAGAGGCATTATATAAAAGATTGTTTTCTTTTTTACTGGGCAATAAAAATAATTCATGCAGCTATTACTACTACAGATATCAGGCAGAAAATATGAAAAACAGAAGAAGTGATTATGAAATTACTCCACAAACTCCTGTTTGGTTAAAGACAGCCCACAGACCCCCAAAAGGACAGAGAGAGGACAGCGTACCCGACGAGGAGTCGGAGGATTTTAGAGCAAAAGACCAACCATCAGGGGTCATAGACGCACAGTGAGGTAAACGGAGCTCCACCGGCTTCAGGAACTTGAGTCCATGAGGGCCACACATCACCAGCGGACTTAGCAGCGTTTCTCCTGCACGGAAACAAGATTTACATTCCACAAATGAAGCACCAAGGAGAGGATTGCCCTTTGCCTAGTGAAGGACAGGAAAAAGGCCATTGTGAGGTATAGGGATGGGTACCTTTGACATTTGAATCGATCCGGTACTAATTCCCGGTACCTACGAGTCGATACCGGTACTTAACGGTACCAATTTTCGATACTTTTGAGTGTTTATTAGTTTAATTCTCTTTTATAATTAAATAGATATTTTTCTCAATATATAACCATATTTGATAAATATCACGATAAATAACATACAAGTTTGTATTTTAACATCGTCCTTGTAGTTTTATAAGCTGATAATTAAACTGAAGCAAACATCTTTACTGTGAACTAAATTTACTGTGTATCTTCATTCCTTTTGCCGTCCTTTTTCATTTGATTTTTCCTACTGGGAAGTTAGAATTTCCGAGGAGAAAGCGAACGCACCATTAGCTGATAACAATGGTGGCAATGGAAGCTAACATATCAAGCTAACGTTATCTTTAACAGTTTATTTAGCTGCTGGAGCAGATTAAAACGATGATGCCTCAAACTTAGATAATTGTCACTGGTTTTACCTTCACCCAATCACCCGTCGCATTTAGTAAAGTAAAGCCAAACTTTAGAGCGCGTTCATGTTCTTCTAGTCGGAAATTCGGAGTTCCGAGGAGAAAGCGAACGCACCATTAGCGAAACGGAAGCTAACAAATCAAGGTAACGTTATCTTAAACATTTTATTTACCTACTGGAGCAGATTAAGATGAGGATGTCTCACTTAGATCGTTGTCTGTCGCTAGTTTCATCACCCAGTTACCCATCACATTTAGTGAAGTGGACCTAAGCTTTAGCGTGCGTTCTTTCTACCATGCTTGCTCTGTTTACAACGGGCTCGCAGGGACCGGCGACATAACGCTCTTGCGCATGCGCAACTGTCTTGGCAGTACCGAAACGAGGCACCGTTTGAATTGACGTGAATCGGTGTTCGGTCGGTTCTATGGAATTCGGTCGGTACCTTAAAAAGTACCGAATTCGGTACTCATCCCTAGTGAGGTATAATAAATAAACTGGTTCCATGTAATTAAATAATCACACTCCACCTTTAACTGGGTGTTAAATTTGTTTGGGGGCATCTTTGCTGTAAATCAGCTGCATTGTTATTTTCCAATCAGCTCAAGGCTTCTACACCCTAAATAAATCTTCTGTTAAATTAAAATAAAGTCATCAGTTTTCTGAATTTAGTCAAAATAAAACAAAAAGCTTGCCCGGTCTTATAATTAGCTCATCAGCAATTCGTCCTACAAGCTTCTCCTCAGATGGTGGAAGTCATTCCTGGACATAGTGAGGATGAAGAGGATCTCCGTACAGCACGATGGGACTCACCTTTCTCCTTGTCGAGGGGGGGCAGGATACTGTTGTCCCGGCACACCTTGAAGTAAATCTCCTGCTCCACGCTCTCTGGGATGGCGCCCTGGGGAATGATGATGCTGACGCCTGTCTCAATGGAGCTCAGAACCCCGCCGTTAGAGTTGAAGATGCCGCGGGCGGTGGCCACCACGGTGTGCCCTTCATCCTCGTCATCATCCTCCAGAGCACTGGGGCTGGGGGAGCAGACACATCAGCATCATCAATCAAACAGGAAAAGGCAGAGAACCACACAGCAGAGGGCTTTAGGGGAAAACTCCAGGGATCGGGGGAGATTTTCTGCCTCCCAGCAGCAACGTACCCAACCCATGCACACAGACGGCTCAACGTCTCACCTCACAGGGATGGCTTTGGGAATGGCATTGATGTTATTGTGCTGGTACTTGGGCCTATTGTCCATCGTGCGCGTGAAGGTGTCCAGACCGCTGTCGTGGTCGAGGGGCTGCGGGGACAGCTGAGGTTTCCTGCTGCTGTTGCCCCCCACCCCAGGCTTACAGAGGAGGTCCGTCTTCACCTGTGTGTCGTTGGGCAGCAGGTTGTGATTGAACTTCGGGCTCTCAAACTTGCGCTCAAAGGGCCGAGCTGCACTGGTGTAAGGCTTGGGGACGTAGCGGTTATAGCTGGTTGGAGGGGGCGCCCCCAGAGTCTTTGGGGGTGCTGCATCGGTGCCATTAACTGGGACTTTATCAGGGAGGCCCCTGGGTGGCAGGTAACCACCTGGTGTGGGTTCGTCCCTGCTGGAGGGCCTGAGTGCTGACAGATCCGGTTTAGGGTTGGGTGAGCTTAGAGGCTCAGGGATGGAATTAGCTGGAAAATGGAAAAAGAAAATAAGTACAAACTGCTATTTAACGGTTAGATTTTTTTTAAACAAACATAAGTTTAGCCGTTTACACACCGGCGTTGTAAACATTATGTCAGAGGGGAGCGTGCCCCCACCCATTTATAAATGAATATTTAGACCCCCCCACATTTACTGAGTAGGAGAAATTGCTCTGTCTTTTTGTGGCATTGCAGGACTGAGAGGCAGTGATGGAGGGGGGGGAAGAGAAAGAACGCTCCTCCAGACACGTGTTATTATTCCTCCTGTGAGCCGGTTTGGAGGTGGGTGGGTCTGAGTGACAGCGACTGTCAGGACCTAATCATGTCTTTTTAATTTTATTTAGACTATTATTTAGGAAAACTGACGAACTCAGAGGAGACAATGAGCTTTGAATGTATTATTATTGTTTTAATTTATTATTATTATGACTTTTCAGATGATTTTCTGACTAGCAATTTAATGAAATGGTTGATTTCAATTGTTATATTGCAATAGGCTCATTTTTTTTCCCTTTCTTGAGTGTAAAATGAAGCTTTACTAATGTTTTTCCTGGTTTGATTATGCAGTTTGCATCTGCAGTTAAAGCCAGGCCGGACTCGAGCCCAACAGAAAACACTGCTGACTGCAACAGCTCACAAGCAAATCTCCAAATCTCAGGCTCTCTCATGCTTATGAAATATGTTTTTATTACATTTATATTCCAGTGTAATATTATTTTCACGGGCATCTTGTGATGCAACACCATGGATATAAATATGTGTGAATCCTTCAGGTGGCAGCATGTCAGAGTTGATGCATGACAGGAATGTCTTGAACAAATAATGTTTCAGGATGAAAAGCATCCTTCTAATGTATTGAAAAAAATAAAGAAATAAAGCTGGAAACACGTGTGTGCACTTAAAATCTATGACATTACCATCACTGGGGCTGAGCTTGGGTAGAGTGTTGGGTGGGATGGGCGGAGCTTGAGGCCCATACTGAGACGAAGGACTGACTTGGGGTAAAGGTTCGTATCTTTTCTCCACCGGGCTCACCTTCTCCACAGACTCGACCCTAAAACAAAACAACAAAAGAGTTAACAACTGGGTCTGAACAGCTGTTGGGAGGCAGAGCTCAGGAATGGCATGAAACAGCCAGCAGGTACACTGTTAGACCTGTTGTATGGGTAGGACAGCTGGGATGGTTTGGGAAGATCATGAAAGCGGTTGATGCCAGGACCAGGTTGGCCCATGGCCTTGCTGTCAAAGCTGCGGCGATCAAAATATGACAGCTGCTTCCTGTAGTACTCCTCATCCTCATCTGGGTCATAGTGGTTGGAACGTACAACATCTTCTAGAGGCTTGGTGTGAGGCTTTTGTGGCTCAGGAGCCCTGAAGAGCAAATAAAAAGTTTAAGTCAAACAGCTTAACAGGTTCAGAAACTAAAGTGGAGGGTGATGGTCAAAGTTCTGACAACAGGGTTCTGTTTATAAACAAATAATTTAACGTGAGGTTTCCTGCTCCGACTTCATGCCAGTAGGTGGCGCTAAAACAACAGCAGCTGAATTTAGAGACGCCTGTTGTCCTTCATTTAAAGACTCTGTAGCCAGGTGTTGTGTAGTGAAGACTCCTCACCTGTAGGCGGACCTCTCCTGCTCCAGGTTGCTGAGGGAGTTAGCTTTCAGGACGGGGGCAGGAGCACTCACAGGTTTAGGAACGTCTGCAGGCTGAAAAAACAAAAACAGGCTCCTCTTTGAGTCTCCATTTGACCGAGATCCTGTTTTTACATGACTGGATAAAATACGAACAAACAAAACTATGCTTTGCACGTTAAATTATTATAAAAGAATAAAACACAATTATTAGTTTAGCCTTTCTTGTTACGCCATTTTGAAATAATACACTAATTTCCAAAGACCTTTATGGAGTAAAACCACAACTTATTAACAAAATTAACTTTTAGTGAATGGTCTCAACTGCAGTGAGTCATGACGACACTGAGATGACAGCTAAATGAAAGACGTACTCTGAGGACTGATGACTCCCCCTCTTTCGCTCTGTCCATAGAAACGGAGCGTTTATTCTCAAACATCTTGACTCTGTTGAGCACCGACTGCGGTTTCATGGCTGGGTCCTCATCCAGTTCTTCCCGTGGAGGAGGAGGAGGGGGTTTGGAGTTTTGAGTCATTGCAGGCTCACCAGGAGAGGGCAATGTCTCTGGTTTAGGAGGGGGAACACTGGGTTCAGAGTTCACCATAGGCTCAAGCATCCCTGGCTTATAACCACGGTTTGGAGGCCCGGACATGTAGGTGGGCCTCAGACCAGAGTCACCATAATAGTGCTTTGGAGGCTCTGGTGAGCGGGGTGAATTTATAGAAAAGCTGCGGGATTCTGCTTCGTAAGGAGAACGGGCGTCGTAGCCTGCTGGAAGTGGAGGAGGGGGCTCATCGTAACGGATGGGTCCAGGTTTACTGTGGCGCATTCGACCATCAAACCCCGGTGGTGGGGCCTCATCATAGCGTGGCTGAGGAGGGCTGTAGTCTCTCCCTGGTCCATCCTCATAGGGGGACCGAGGGTTGTAGCCCACTGGTTGCTGGTGGCCTGGCTGATACCCGGCGGGTTGGGAGGACGAGGTCTGCTGGTCGTATGGGGGCCACTGTTCGTTGTAATGAGGCACACGGTTGTCGTAGTGCAGGTGGGACTCAGGGTTGTGAGGCTTTGGTTCTGTATAGCCACCTCCGTCGTATCCGTAAGGCGGGTGGTCGTACTCGCGGTATGGCTGTTTGTCCTGGTACGGAGGCTGGTGACTGTAGCTCAGAGACTGCTTCAGACCATGGTTGATTCGCACTGGGTCCTCCATATTGTACAGATCTTTCTTGTACATCTGTGAAAAAAGAGAGCTAATTGAGAATCTTCACCAGATAATCAACCAAACCTACAACACCACAGTGAAGGAAAAGTGGTTTCCCAGCAACAAATCAAGAATAAATGAATTACAAGGAAATAAACTGAAACCTCAACAAACTTGCATACTTAAAATTGACCAAATTACAACCAAATTCTGCAACAATTATTTAAATAAGATGAAATCTTTAATCAAAAACAATTCTGAAAGCCCGTTTGACAAGATGCCTTTCAAGAATGATCAGAATCCACAAGGGAATTTCACCAAGTTAACGTGTTTCACCATCTACCCACAAGAAATTTGCACATTTCTGAAAGGCCTCATTTCAAACATATGATGTGTAGCCTGTAGACAGCGAATGTACTGTACTTCCTATGGAAGAAGGTAGATCTGCTCAGGACAAAACTACTTAACATGTAGTGAACTGATGAGTAGACTTTCCATAGAAAGATTTGCTCAGTTGAAGTTTATTTTTACGCAGCGTACTGTCTGCAGGTTAGCTCTCATCATGCAACAAACATTCAGTTTGCAACTTATGCAACGTCAAACTACTGGCACTACTACAAATGAATCACATCTACCCACTACGATGCCACTCTCAGTGCCACTATTGTTCATCTACAGAAGAGTCAAAGCTGAAAGGAACCCAAAAAACATTAGGAGCCATGCAAAGGAGGTAAGAGGCAACAGTTAGGGCTGGTTGTGATGTCTTCACCCTGGTCAGAGACTCAGATGTACCAGTCCTTCTGTCTCCAGCCCACTGTGGTGCATGTGGACCAGTGTGTCACACATTTTCTCTGGGATCCAGAGGCACACAGTGGGCTCAGTGAGTCACACAGTGTGGACAAGACATGCAGAGAGCGAGTGGAAAGCATGTGTGAGAAGACAGGCAGTTAAACAGCAGGCTGGGGCCCAGGGCCGGTCCGAGTGGCTGGGTACCTTTGGTTCTGGACCAGGAGGTCCAGACGGGTGGGGTTCATGTGGTGGAGGAGGTGGTAGGGGCTGAATAAGCTCAGGGGCAGGGCTGGGGCTGTTAAGTGAGTCAGCCTGAGGAGCTGCGGCTGCAACAGGCGGCTCCTCTAGGTGTACACCCTCATGCTGCAGCGGCTGCTCAGCAGCCGAGGTAGCTGCCGCCGCCGCCGGAGGCAACGAGGGCATGGCCAGAGCAGCCTCACCTTGCTGTGAAGTATTGTTAAGAGACATTTTTAACACAGCCATCCAAGGGCACTCAGTACATTTATACCCCAACACCATGAACGTCTTACACCAGCTGCACAATGAAATTTTAAAGCATATTTATGACTTCGCCAAGAACATTAAATATTAAACACAGATCAGAACGCAAAACGGAAAATAAACCAGGAATTCTTCAGCTCCAATGTCATTTATATTTAACTGAATATGAATCTTTGACAAGCAGCAGTTGGAGGCCTGCCAATAACATTACCTGCTGCGGAGCGGCCATCTTAAACCCAGCTGGGTCTATTCGACTAGCCGGGTCGGGTTGCACAGGGTGCTGGTATCCGGGGTACCCTGGAGTGTCTTGTATCACAGGGGGGTCTTCTCGCACAGGCTCTGAAGAGCGGGTGATGGCGGGCTCAGTGGGCAGACCCACCTCATCATTCAAAGTTTCATCTAATTCTTGGTCTGTGTAAGCTCCTCCCTCTGTGTCTGTGTCTTCATAATCAGAAGTGTGGCGGCTGTCTGTGCTATACATGGAGTATTCACTACCTGGCGCCGAAAGGTAGGACAGACGGTCGTCGTGGATGTCCAAATCATCCTCTGTAGTGCCGTCCGCCTGAGCAGAGCAGAAAAACTGTCACAGGTCGCACCAGAATAAAAACGACCAAAGCATCTCCGGCCTGCCGCCTCACCTTCCCCTCCGACACCCATACCAACTGATTCTGCTGCTGCTGGATGGTTTCTTTCAGAGCTCCGTACCATCCATCATTCATGTTGTTCAAGTTGATGGTTGCTAAGAATTAATAGTTGCACAATAATCACCTCACAGAAAGAAAAAAACAGTATAAATTAACATGATTTTAAACACATGCTGCACACTTACTGGTAAACAGGTGGTGATTATTTTTCCTCAGTTTAATGGCTCGCTCAAAAAGCTTCCTGGCGCTCTTCCTGGACTCTGGACAAAGTCTGGTCCTCATGTTCTTCACGCCCTGTTTATTGTCGGGATTTAGGAAGACTACGATGGGGTACCACTGAGCATAGTTCAGCCTGTCCACAGCGTTAGGGGTGATGTCCAGCACTGCATGTTTGTCCTTCAGTTGATAAAGACAAAAATATGGAAGGATCATTCAGAGCATTACTCAACACAGACATTAAAACACCCCAGACGCATGCTCACTCTGTCGATGATCTGTTTGATGGTGTGAAGACGAATGATTCCTGAACTGCGCTGATCTGTTCCTGCATCTCTGGGTTCACTCTCTGAAAACGCAAGAAAGAGACATTTGTGAATAAGGCTCTAATAATAACAGACACTTTGAAGTCATACCAAACATACTTGCTAGTTCAAAGAGATCTGGCTCTTCTCTGGATAATTTTTCTCGAGCGACATCAGCAATGGGTCCAAATATCACAACCGGCCTGAGGAAACCAGCTGCACAAAAGACAAAAACATCACTGGATCCAAAACACTTCATCAGTGATAAGGCTAATTAAACCCTTACACATTTAGATGACTCACCTTCCCTTAGTACAACCCTCTCATAAGCTGGGAACTTTGTTTGGACTGGCTGAGAGGAAAGGTCCTCTCTGCTTTTCCTCAAGTTCCTCTTTGAACTTCGAAGCCCTCTGAACCTCCAGAAGTCCGCCCGGTCACCCCCAGCTGTTTTCGGGAGAGTGTACTGAACGCTGGAAAGCTGCTCCGCTCTGTCAGCAGAAAGACACGGACAGCTTTCAGTGTAATCCACCTTTACAGGCACTGCTACAAGCTTCCCAGCAGAAAGGTAATAAAGGACCTTTATTAGTTAGGATGGTGTCACCTGTTTTTGTTGGGGATGATGCCCCTCTCCACCTCCTGATGGTTCTTCCCGATTCGTATAGCCAGCCAAGAGCCCAACTTGCCGTTGTAGAGCGTGTCCACAACACGGAAAACCTCGCCCTTGTTAAAGCTTAACCCATAAGGAGATTCCTTCTCGTACTCAAAGTGTGTTCGGATATAGAAGGAGTCTCCGACATCAGACTCCACAATCCGCCGATACACTAAATAAGACAACAAAAAATCATTATGACCACATAAATTTAATCAAGTTAACATCATGTGCCGTTTCATTCACTCTACTTACCATCTTTTTTCTTCTGAGCCAGAATGGTGACCTCTTCGCCTTTAGGAAGATCCAGGAGGAATAGCACCGCCTCCTCTCGGATGATGTTAGCAAAATCTACATTATTTACCTGAAAAACAACAAGATTTCAGTAAATTTTTAAGTTAAGCCTTCATCGTTCACTGAGTTCAGGACACAAAGAGCAAATCTCTATTTAGAGGCAGGGGTAAATACCCAGAATTCCCTTAAACACTGCAGGTTTTACGGTGCTGAAAGAACTGAAGGCATAGCTCGGTTCACTCGGTGAGCAGAAAAGAAGGTATAAAGAGAAAGATATACGACTGAATGAATAGGACAAACACAGGGAGGAAACAGTTGTTTCGTGTTTGCTCCCTAGGGCCGTTGCTAAGAGACAAGCTTGATGATACAGGAATTTTGGAGCAGCTGTAAAATCCTGAATTAAAAAAGGGAATGTTTGGGGGCATATTCCCTATAAAAGATTTATATTTATAGTTGCAATCCAATGCCAACTGTTAAAGCAAAAAAGAAAAAAAAAGGCTTCTTGTCCTCTTTTTAAAAAAATATTACTTGACTCATCTAAAAAATGTGAAACAGCTTAAAAATCGCCCAAAACCTCTCTATGTGGACTTGAGTTACAGCTGACGTTATCTCACCCTGAGAATTTGGTCGCCCTCCTCCAGGCCCTCCTTAGCAGCCGGGCTTTCCTCCAGAACTCCAGCGACGAAGATGCCCACGTCGTTGCCCCCAGCCAGCCGCAGACCCACACTCTCCCCTTTCTTAAATTTCACCAGCTTCATGCTCGGCCTGAGGATAAACACGACGGTTTAACTCATTTATTCTGTTCAGTATCATTTAAAAGAAGCAACACTCTTGGCCAGGTGTCTCAAGAACTTATGGGGCTTTTAACACATTATGAAAATGCTGCACTTTATTGATTTGGACAAAAATAACCACAAAAATGGCATCTCACACACAAAATGAAATCCATGTTTATACTGTCATTCAAATGAACAACACAGATAACAACAGACAAGTTTAGAAAAATGTAATTTTGATGTGTTTGGAGGACAAGGTTCATGAAAACTATTGTTATTACCGTAGGATACTGTCGTCATGGGCAACGCTTGGCACAGGGGCATCTGAAGGACTGACTGGCAAGTCAACGTCTGGCTGGCCAGGCTGAGCATACACAGGCTTGGGCTCTAAATAAATAAATAAATAAAAGGCTGTGGTCTTGATGCACACACCAAACTGACGTTCATGAAAAAGCACAATAACCCCTCCACCACATAACTGACAAGACTGAACATACAACTAAACAGCTGGGAAGAAGTTCACAAAGAGAGAAAGCACCACCATGTTCAAAATATCTCACACACACCCACACACACACACACACACACGGCGTCCTTAGCTGGGAGGTCAAAGCAGAATGCTGCAGGCTGGCGAGGAACGTCACATTCGATCAACTCATACAGCTTATTTTCACCGTGCTCGAGGCAAACTCAGACAGACTCAGCAGGCGTTTGCATCTAACTTTTTTCAGTAGCTGTGCTTTAAAAAAAAGGGCTAAATTAAATGGGTCGAAGGAGATTTAATTCCACTGTCATGGAGTTGCGCAATTTTCTGTTTGATGACAGAAATATAAGACCTCTCATTGGCTAACAAGTATAGATGTGAGCCACTCAACCCAGACTGATTTACAGTCCACCTCTTGCGCGCGCGCACACACACACACACACACACACACACACACACACACACACACACACACACACACACACACACACACACACACACACACACACACACACACACACACACACACACACACACACACACACACACACACACACACACACACACACACAGTTTTTAGGGGGCCTGTTTAAGTTCTAACCTGGAAGAGGCGGGAGCTGTTTCTCATCTCTCGCCACAGCTGACTCCTTCAGCTTTGGCAGAGGAACCTCCTCTGCTAGCTTGGATGGTGTTGAAGCTGGCTTGGAGAGCCGTTCATCATCACGACTCCTGTGACTACAGATAGTACAAGTTTACTCATCTCTAAAAAAACTGGAGACAGAGAAATAATCAAACATAGTACATTGTGTATTGGTCTCCTGGGCAGACACGCGCTGCTGGGAACAGCTTGAGTAGAAGGCAGCATCTTATTCATGAAGGTCATTGCTTTGCCTGTCCACTCTTTTTAAGCTCTATTTTTAGAGCAGCTTATCTAAGGTGTCCAGTAGATTCTGTCCTCCAGGAGAATTTTACTGAGACTCTGGTTTAAAGCGGTGCTACTTGACTTCACTGCCAGTTTAAAAACAATAACGTGTCTGGTTATACACACGGTAGTCCAAACAAAAGAAAAACAAGCCAGATGAATGAAGACAAAGTCAAAAATCCATTTAGATATATTTCACAATTAAACAGACTAAGCAGTAATGCAACAAAGCCACATTTCTGGTGAGAAGAAGATGTAGCATCAGCAGGTGATCTCAGATCTAAACGTGCTAATATCTACATTAAACACATGGACTAGGAAAAAAATTATTACAAATCATTAACACTATAAATGTTATGTCCCATATGGTCTGACATTTGCTGGCAAGACTAGTTTGTAGATCCAATGAACTTTAAATGGTAAACATGTGACGTGCAATGACAGCATAACAGAAAGCATCCAAGAACAGCTGCAGTGATAGACTGTGATGCATCTGCATGCCTGCAGCACTTCAGCAGCAGGAATAATCTAATCAGTGTAAAGAAGATAATAAAAATACTTTAATTCACAACATCTAACCACAATGTAAAGAAGCGTTATTCCCGGGTCTCCATATGTTAAACAAATTCCTAATTGCCGATATACTTAGGGAATTTTTTATTTGGATGTGGTTTATTTAGCTTATTCTGAATACCTTTAATTTACTCGTAATCAAAGAAAACAGTTAAGTTCAGATCAACACTTTTACCCTGTCTCAGTAACTCCATCTTGTATTTGAAATAGTTGAAATGATGCTTTTGTTAAATAAAAGACCAATGATGAAAAGCCTCACAAGACATCTGAATCTGCGCTGGTTAGCTGCTGATGATCTAATGTTACAGCATTGTTGGGTCGTACTGTCCTTGTGCCAAACATGCGGTTTAGCCCACCTGAACATTCTGAGGACTCAAAGATCCGGTAACACATTCACAGGGTTTTGCCATCCAAACGGGAAATGGGATTCAGTGTTTGGTGTCGTATCACTACAGCAACATTTGCGGAGTTAAGACTCGGTGTTGCACCAATCACCAACCTCACAGACACTTCCTCTCCACCAGAGTGAGGGCTGTGCGTTCACAGGAGTTTGTCAAAGTCAGAACCAAGTTAAATCTATTCCAATTGATTTATTATCCGCACTCCAAGCAGAGAAATTATGCCAAACCTAAGAGTTGTCTTCAGCTGTCGAATCTGAGAGGAATGAAGGGGCAGATCAAGCCCATAATTCTGACGGAGACTTTACAAAAAAACTGAACGATTCATGCTTTACAGTTATCAGATTCACAAAGTAGAAAAAAAATACATTTATAATAAAATACCCTTTTCCACTACTCTGAGTTCAACTACTATACTACTTATAGGGATATTTTAACCATGTTGAAGAGTGTTTATGTTTAAAACAAATGCTATCTCAGCAGTTTTACACAGCTACTCAATGGCTTAGCTAATAAAACATCACGCAATGAATTTAGGTGATTGTAGCCATTTTAAAACATCAACAAAACACTTTGGTCTTGGCTGCTCCCAGACTAGCTGTTAGCTTATCGGTCTTGATCATAAACAGCTTTCTGAACAAGTCATTAAGGAAACAATCTCCATTATAAATTATTAATAACAAAGAAACACGTTTTATAATGGCACCACTTGTTGAATTTTATTGGATACATCTTGAAGTGATGTTTAAGACTTTGGGACTATTTTTTATACTTGTACTGTGGAGCACCTTTTGCCTTCTGAGGCCTATTGGATGGTAAGGAAATCCATTCCTGCTAATCTGTCAATGGCTAAGAAAATGGAAAAAGATTTGGATGAAGTCAAGAAGTCACTAAACTTTATGTCAGGTGAACTAACTAAAGTGGTAACACAACAAAGTGATTTGATGAAATAGTTGAAGTACAAAATCTGAGGGAAATGATTAAAGAGAAATATAAGAAGATTGAAGAGCTTGAAAACAGAGTGGAGCAGCTGGAGCAACATTCAAGAATGGAGGAGGTGGTGATGATTTCAGGCCTGGAGACTACACATCGTACATATGCACGGGCAGCTTCTGGAGGAAATGCTGGAGGGGATGTGCCAGCAGAAGAACTGTTGTCACTGGAAAAACAAGTTATTCAGTTCTTTGGAAGTAAGGGCATTTCTATTGACAGCACCACTATAGCTGCATGCTACACAATTCCTAAAAAACAATCATTCAGTTTGTGAGCAGGAAACATAAAGTTGACTTGTTAAAGGTCGTAAAGAAGCTTAAGGGCACAGGAGTGTATGTAAATGAGCACCTGACAAAGAAGAATGCAGAGATTAACTGGCAAGCAAGAATTCTGAAGAAGGAGAGGAAAATACAGGATACCTGGATAAGGAACTGTAAAGTAATGATCAAGCTTAATGCACCACCAGAACAAGCTAAAGTGGTGAGCATCAGGAGCCTCTCTGAACTGGAAAAACTTAAATGATGAGAAGAAGATGGTATTTAGTTCATGGACAAAGCAGACTACAAGAAATCAGGAAATAATAGATTTTTTAGGTTTGTCAGTGATGTAGATCGTAAATCAAATCTGATAGATAATGGAGTTGACTCAGAAATTAATGGTTGCAGCAACACCCACCTGGACTGTGAATATTATATTGTAGAGGACTTCAAAGTGAGTATGTGTGGATTTTCATTAATACACTTTAACAGCAGAAGTCTCTAGAACAATTTATCTAAGATTACCTAAATGAGTTCAAGGAGAAATTTACAGTAGTTGCAATTTCAGAAACCTGGATCAAAGATGGAAAAGAGTTATTGAATAAACTGGATGGCTATGAAATTATTAATCAGAGCAGACAAAACAAAAGAGGGGGTGGGGTAGCACTTTTTGTTAGGACTGGTTTTGATTGTACGATACTAACGAATATGACCTTCATTGTTGAGAATTTGATGGAGTGTCTGACAATTGAAATTAAGTGTAAAAAATCCAGAAACATCATTATAAGTTGTATGTATCGTAGTCCTGGTTCTTCTATAGATCAGTTTAATGAACGTATTGAAACATTATTTGGGCAATGTAGGAACAAAATGACTTTAATTTGTGGTGATTTTAATATTGATATGTTTAAATCGGATGATAATCCTAAAATAGCTGAATTTATCAATTTAATGTTTAGTTTAGGTTTCTTTCCGTTGATATTGAGATCAAGCAGGATAACAGCCGATAGTATTACACTGATTAACAATATATTCATAAATCAATCTGACATCAAGACAAAGAATGGCCTTTTTGTAACTGATATTACTGATCATTTACCGGTGTTTACTGTGGTGGAAATGATGAGAAGTGATGAAACATCTCTGGAAAATGTAAATTTTACCATAACTAGAAAAAAACTCCTGTTGCAATTGAAGCTCTGAAATATGAACTGTTTTGCTCTGATTGGACTGATGTTTATGTTGATGATGTTAATAATTCTTATAATGCATTTCTTGAAATATTTTTGGGAGCTTATGATAAACATTGTCCTCTAAAATATCATAAGCAAAACTTTAAAAAAAAGGTCCCTACCCTGGATTGTTAGGGGATTGGAAAGGGCTTGCCAGAAAAAGAAATCACTGTATCTGGATGTTATAAAAAATCCAACAAAGGAAAAAGAAAAAAGGTATAAGGAATATAAAAACAAATTAACTACAATAATAAGGAAGCAAAAAAAGGAATATTATGATCAGCTTTTCCTAAAACACAAAAATAATATTAAGGGTACATGGAATGTGTTAAATAAATTAATAAGACATACAAAAGAAGCAGGTATAGATATTCACAATAAAAATGAAAAGAACATTGCAAATTAGTTTAATAAATATTTTGTGAATGTTGGCCCTAATCTAGCTAAAAAGCTGCCAGAAGTTGACATTAACCAAGAAATAAATAAAATAATAATACAATGTTTTTGAGCAGTGTAAGCCAAAGTGATGTGATCCAAGCGGTACATAGTTTCAAAGATAAAAAGTCCTTAGATTTTCATGGGACAGATATGTCTCTCATCAAGGAGGTTATCCAATGCATTATTGAACCTTTTACTTATATTTGTAATAAATCCTTTTCAAGTGGCACAGTCCCAGAACAAATGAAAATAGCCAGAGTTATTCCTATTTATAAAAGTGGTGATAAATTATTAGCTTGTAACTATAGACCTATCTCTTTACTGCCACAGTTTTCAAAGATACTTGAGAAACTTTTTGTAATTAGATTTGAAGCATTTATCAACAAGTTTGATCTTTTAAACGACCATCAGTATGGGTTTAGGAAGAATCGTTCAACCTCATTAGCAGTTATGGAATTGGTAGAGCAGATTGCAACAGCAGTGGATCAAAAACTTAATGTAGTGGCTGTCTTAATTGATTTGAGTAAGGCATTTGATACAACTGATCACACATACCTGCTCAAGAAATGTGAATACTATGGTCTTCGTGGTAAAACCAATCAATGGCTTGAAAGTTATTTAAGCAGTAGATTTCAATATGTAAATGTTAATGATACAGATTCACAGCTTGAAAGAGTAATATGTGGTGTACCGCAAGGCTCGGTGCTAGGACCGAAATTATTCAACCTATATCTGAACGACATCTTTTCTGTATCATCTCGGTTAAAATATATTACGTTTGCAGATGATACTAATTTCATTTGTATGGGAAAATAAATGAGTGAGTTATTACAAGAGGTTGAAAATGAATTGGGTTCAATTAAAAATGGTTTGATTACAACAAACTATCACTAAATGAAAATAAAACCACATTTATGATATTTTCAGGGAACAGGGACAATGACGGTGCTAAGCTGTTTTTAAATGAGGTCCCAATTGAACAAGTACATGAAACTAAATTACTAGGTGTGATTATTGATAGTAAACTCAGTTGGAAACCACATATTGAATATATCAAACAGCAAGTGTCTAAATCTATTGCTATACTTTATCAAACTAGTGATGTACTAAATAAAAAAGCCTTGTTTTTGATTTATTGCTCTTTAGTTATGCCTTATTTGTCTTACTGTGCAGAGGTTTGGGGAAATGCAGGTAAAATGTGTGTTGAGACTGTATTTAAATAACAAAAAAAAGGCGATTAGAATAGTTAATAAATTGGGATACCTCGAATCAACCCATAATCTATTTAGTCAAACTAAAACGCTAAAATTAGGAGATATTATTAAAGTAAAAATCTTAGAGATTCTTCATAAAGTAGTTAATAATAATATCCCAAATTGCATAAAAGTTTATTTCAAACCAAGAGATGATCATTATAATCTCAGAGGTGTATTTATGTTTGAATGTGTAAAAGGCAGAACTAATGTGAAATCAAGACGTGTTTCTGTTGTCGGTGTGAAATTGTGGAATGAGTTAGATGATGATTTGAAGAAATGTACTTCTTTACTAAAGTTTAAAACAGGTGTAAAGTGTCACATATTTACAGGGTATGAAAAGTATGTATAGACATTTAGAATTTTCATTGTGGTTATTTATATTGGGGAAAATAAAAGAAATGTATATTGGTTATGTATCTTAGGTGGAAAATAGGATAGGCTAAAATAAGCATTGCTTCTGCCTATTCCTTTTTTGGTTTAAATTCAAGTTGTTAATATTGTTGTTTTGTTTGAAAAGAAAAATTTTATGTTAATGCTATAAACCAAAATAAAGACCGAAAGAAAGAAAGAAGAAAGTTCCCTTCACAAACAATGGTAGGCCTTATTTAGCTCACCTGCCATTGCTGATTTGTTGGGGCGAATGTCTGGAGTGGTCTGAGGGTTCCGATCGTCTGTCTGGAGACCGGGAGCGGCTGCTACGATGTCTGTCACGCGATCGATTGGAATGGTCGGATGCCAGAGAATGGATATCTGAAATGTCTGGTAAAAAAAAAGAAGTCCCAGTTCAACATCGCTGGCTTTTCATCTGCACACACCTCAGCTGAATGCGACAAGTCGACCTCACGCTCACCATCTCTATCAGAGGCGTTGGCTGAAGGAATGCTGTCATCGAGGTCAGGGATGTTCAGCAAGGTCGCCCTGTCGTCTCTCTGGACAACCATTTTTAGTTTGCCCTTCGACCTTTCTATTAGTTTCTTAGCGTCTATCAAAGAGAGGTTCTCGGTCACTGTGCCATTAATCTGAGAGAACCAGGAAAAACAGAATTCTCAATTTTTAAAAAGAAAACTTTTTTTCTCCACATTTAACTTAAAAAATACATGTTTGGGTTACAGATGATGAAAAATAACTAAATCTCTACATCAACAAGATCAGGCTGAATAAATCTAAAGTAACCAAAATGAGTAAATAAGAAATAGTGTTTGGAATGCAAAATATGAATCAGAGCTTTATATAAGATCATCAATATCTAAACGTTTGAGTGAGATTTGTAAGGTTTTGTGGTTCTCCTCCCTCAGCTCCTACCTTCAGAACAACATCCCCTTCCTGGATGTTGCCATCTCTGGCTGCCAGGCTCTCAGGGGAGATGTCCTTGACAAAGATGTGGCTGGCCAGGCGGAGGCCATATTCTGCTTACAGAGTGAACGACAGCAACAAAGATGATGTTAGCACAGAGTTCTCGTGAGGGCACCGGAGTGAGCGCACTCTGCTGACAGCTGCTGTTCCCGTTGGGATTAACAAACTGATTAAAGAAGATTAATTGCTCTTTTACTTAAGTTTACTGGGATTTTTGCTAAGGCTGGGAAGTTTTATTTACTCTAGCAATTACCCAGAGCGGATTTAGTTCTGACAGAGAATAAAGATTTCCTAAATTCCAACACATCTTAACATGACGACACTCTTTTCTATCCCCGACTTTGTGAGCCTCACCTTCATTTTTGCGGGATTTAACCAGCGTAACCTTGGCAGGACGTGGGGGGAGATTGTGCGAGCGGCGGTCTGAGCGAGGGGAGAGACTTCTCTCTCTTGAGCCACTGCGCTCACGTTCCCTGTCCCTTCGCCCGCCGCTCCGACCACTGCGTCTGCCCATGGCCCCGCCCACACCGCTGTAAGCACCACTGCGTCCACTCCGCGTCTCGTATATCTCTTCATCGTAGCTGTCCTCCTCTTCGTCATGCTCTGACATAGTTTCTCTCTCTCCCAACCGGCCCATGGGGACGTGCACCTTCCTTTTCCGTCTGATTGTCTGATCAGAGGGAGGCAGGTTTGAAACTGCGCCAACAACCAGTCACTTCACATTTATCAATCACGTTCCTCTGTGTTTTTATCCTTGTTCAAAATAAAAACATCTACATATCATACACATCAAAACACACGCTTGTTGAGGCCAACACTCACAATTTTGGCAATTTTCCCGCTTTTGCGAAGCTGCTGAACAGCATATGCGTGCTCCACATTGTCCATGGAGACAGCATTGACCATGACCACTCTGTCATTCTCCCTGGAGTTCAGAAACAACACAAAGACAAAGTGGAGTCATCCTGGAGAAGGCAGTCATTTCAAACTAAAGATCTGACTGTAGTAATAAGCTCTTACTGCAGTAGGCCTTCTGCTGGGCCTCCTTTCAGCACATCTGAGATGACAATGGAGGTCTCGCCACTCTGAAAATGAGGGTTATCCCGACCTCCTGATATGGCTATCCCAAAGCCAAACCCTGGTGCCTGCGCAAACACAGATAACCACTTTTCACCAGTTTGTATAAATATAGAGAACTACGGTTTCATTTCTTCACATTTTTAGCCCTTCAAAAGTGGGGAGAGACTCAGTTTTAAATGATAACTTTCTTTGCCGGCTCCACCTGCAACTCTGTTTTAAGTGAGCACACATTCTCCAAGATGTGATGCAGGAAACAGAAGAGAAAGGAACAGGCCGGGGAAAAAAACAGCATTGAACAGGTTGTTTAGGGAGACGCTGGAAAAGGAACAGACAAAGATGGATGTGGAGAGCAGAGGGAGAATAACAATTGCCTACCCTGTGTAGTGTTACTGTGTGCTGTTCCCAAATGACTGTCTCCTCCATTGCTGCACTCTGAGAGACACAAACACACTGTGTTTAACACAAAGGTTCAGGCACAGTTCGAAACCAAAAAAGAAAAATAGCATAACATTTATGTAATCTCATTCAAAAAGATCACAGATGAGGAGAGAAATGTTTTCCTTCGGAAAAATACCAAATATTCCTGCCTTTAGTCTTCAATTGCTTATTTTTATTAAAATATGTGAATTTAATGCTTAGTGTCAGACATCAAATAAGTATAAGCTGACACTTTACACCATGGCAAAAAGTTTAAATACTCAAACAATCTTTATGTGTAATGAAGTATTCAAGTTGAACTAAAACAGATGCAAACAGCATCTGAAAAGAAAGGTATTCCTTTAGTCTCCTTTTCTCTTTTACCCAAAGGTGCTTCCTGGCACCTGCATTCACAGTAAAAAGCCACAACCTATTTCAATTCAACTTTTAGTTTATAGTTTTTCTATTTATGCACACCTCTTCTCCTTTTTACCATGTTTTCGGTTTGATTTTTGTTTCATTTGCCACTTTCTTCATTTGTTAATCACATGCCACATAACACTGTTCAAATGCCAGATGGGTAAGAGTAAAAAAGGATCCAAAGTCCCAAGAAAAACATTGAAAGACCTTTGGAGAGCCTGAAATTAAATATGGATCAAGACCACTTTACATTTATTTTTTATGTGGTATATTAGAAAATGAATTTACGATTCTTTAAAGCATTCTTAATAGACAGTACTTTATATATTTCATTTCAACCCTTCTTGCAAAAGCATAACTGTTATTTCTGGGACAGCAGTGGCTCAGGGGTAGAGCAGCTTGTCCAGTAATCAGAAGGTTGCAGGTTTGATCCCAGTTCCCACCTTGTCTATGGGCAAGACATTTAAACCTCCTTGCCTGCTGATGGTGGTCGGAGTGCTCGGCAGGCCTCACCAACATCAGTGTGCTGCAGGGCAGCTGTGGCTACATTGTAGCTCATCCCCACCAGCGTGTGAATGACTGGTTATGTTGTGAAGCACCTTAGTGGGTTGCAGCCTAAGAAGGTGCTATACAAATACGGGCTATTTAACAATTACCATTATTTTGGGGCATTTGATAATTGGAGTTTTAAATAGGATGAATTACAAACTTTAACCGGCACACGTTGCAGGGAGCATCTAGCAGGTCTGGTTTCCAATAAGACCACACACACACACACACGCGCGTGCGTGCACACACACACAGACACACACACACACACACACACACAAACAAACAAACAAACACACACACACACACACACACGTGCAGATCTTTTACAGTAGGCCCACAATGTGAAGCTCCACGCCTACAATGTTAGACAAATAACAATAAACACACACTTCTGGTTTTAATAAAGTTCAACTGACATGTTCTGAAGTAAAAGCACAACCACACACACAAAAAAAACAACAACACACACTTAAGGTCAACGCGTAGTAACTTTCTACTCACAGCCCACGTTTTGTACAAAAGTATAAAATATTATCAGTTCCATCCCTATAAGGCAAATTACAACCCACTTCTCCACCCAAAATGCCTCATTTGTCATCGAAATTTATCCAAACTCTGTGACCTGAAAAGGTGAGTAAACCACATTTCTCCCTTGCTCTGCTTGCATTTCTGTTACACTTGACACAAAAAAAGTCTCTACTTACTGTACTACATTATATTTAATGTGTCAGTTTCAATAAGCACGGGCAGAAAATAGAAAGTGTGAGCGATCTGTCATTTATCTCTCCATTTATTAAGGTAACTTCAGTATAACTGCACTACAGTTGCTGTTGCAGTAAATATGCAGTAATTGCATTTTCTCATGGGGTTTATTTCTAATTTAAAAGGTGTTTTTTCCCCCTAAACACTACTACAGCACAAACCCACATGCAGGATGTGAAGGTGGGACTGACAGCTCTGTTGACATTTTTATAATAAACCTGAGGCCTGTTTGCATGGTAAATTATAAGTTAATATTTGTAATTATATCTTACAGCTTTCCTGTAAGACAATAATATAAAAATTCTGCTTGGAGTAACGCAATGTTTAGTATTATACTGTTGAAACCCTATTACAGAAACAATAACTCAGCAGACGGACGCTGCTTCATTCCCATTTACTATTTCACCAACAGGGACTCCTTCAACACATCATCTTTGCGTCTGTTACGGTCTGTCGGCCTACTGCCAAACATTAGCAGGCGTCTGGGAACACGGGCAGCAGAGTAAATTGCCACAAGTGGCCCCAGACATTCTTGACTTGGCAGCCACAGTACCATGCAGCTAATGATGAGAGACTCCCTTTGGCCTTTTAAAGTGAAACTCTGCAGATAAGAGATGCAGAAAAGCATTCATGGATATCAGGAAACTTAGTGCAAACGAATGAAGTTGTAATGTTTGTTATCATTCAAATATGTGGAAAATAGCAAAGGTGGAAGGCATTTTTTGAATTAATTGTTTTAAAATGCTGATAAGTCAAACTACAATGGAAAACTGTAAATAAGCCAAAAATTAAAGAGTATTTTGAGACAGCAAAAGGCAACTAAATGAAGGAGAAGCAAAGAAAAACTTGTTTTGATGTGGTCTTGCTGCTGTGTGCATCTCTCACCTCCTTTCTGTACTTAACCGTCTCTGTTTTCTAGGGCTGGGGGTAAACGATTATTTTTAAAACGATTATTCTGACGATTATTTTATCGAATAGTCGACTATTCTAATGACTATTTAGAAAATTAATCTAATGATTATTTTTCTATTGCACAATTAACAAAAACCAGAAAATCTCAAATAAATTCCTCAAAAAAAATGATAAATTCTTACTGTAAGAGAATAAACACTACAGGCCTTCCATTTTTTATAACACTGCGTTTATTGTGTTGGTTGGTTATGTTCTGGTGACGTGTAGAACTTGGGAGTGCTGGCTGCTGCCTGAGAGGTGGTAGAAGGTGGAGTGTCTCCATGCTGCTTTGTTTTGGTCACTTATGTGCGTGAGGCGAGTGGTCTTACGGGTTAAACCAAACTCAGGTGATATTTTACACTAAACCGAAAACCCACAACACTCTAAATGTAATAAAAGGGAGATCTGCACCACAAAAAAGATGAACTCTAAACCAAAACGTAACAGCTTATCCCAACGCAAGAAGCTGTTAGCGAAGATGCTAACAGTAGCTTTACCAACATTAAGTTCAAGTTACCAAGTTTAAATAAACCAAAAACACCCAGCAGCAAACAGACCAGCACGGAGGAGAGACTGCTACCACCAAAACAGCTCTCCTAGTGTCTGAAAAAAGCTCCTTAATGAAGGGAGAAGCGCTCCCGGTGATGTCCTACATCTGCGATAGACACGAAGCAGCGCATCTGACCCCGGAAGTTGTTGTCCGTTGCCGGGAGACGAAGGCGGGCAAAACAGGAAAATAATCTAGTAGTGGACGGACGTTGTTCCGGGTCTTCGGTATTTGGCGGAGATGTTAGTGAAGGCGGAGAAGAGGGCGAACTAGAGGAAAAACGGGCAGATTCCTCCTCTATTTACAAACTCCTGCGGATGCAACAAGTGGGCGCGGTGCGTCGACTTCCGGATCTGACGTCGACAAATTTTTAGAATCGAGCCGTCGACGTCGTCGAGGCTTCGCTACAGCCCTACTGTTTTCACTTTGAAGGGATGCAATTTGAATTTCTCCTGCAGAGCTCGTTACTCTGATAACAGAGGGGGGAGCAGAGTGGCACTGCTTAATTGGCATGTTTTGGATAGTCTTATAAGTGAAGATTTGGAAAGTTTTGGAAAAAACGTACACATTTACTCAAAAATATTTTTTCTATTTCCATTTAAAAATATACCACAAACTAGGGCTGCTCAATTAATCGAATTTTAATCACGATTACGATCTGAGTTTTGAACGATTATAAAAAACAAAACAAGCCGATTATTTGCTCCTCCCGCCTGCGCTGCGCCGAGTTGCAAATGAAGCGCTCCTCCCACAGTGTTGCCAACTTTGTGACTTTGACGCTATTTCTAGCAGCTTTTCAGACCCCCTTCTTGACTTTTTAACTTAAAAGTACCTAGCGAACACCTCAGAAACATCTCTGGTAACCCTTAGCTACTTTCTGGATAACTGTCGTCGACATTTCCTGCAGGTTAGCTAAACACTCCGCCTGCTCTCCGGACCGTTCTTCAGGACATTAGGAAAGGGAATGATGTAGTGATGTGTCGGTCGCTAAAGACAGCTCTCGGAGCCGGCTCCCTGTTGGAGTAACCAGAGTGAGTGACACACACACCGCACCTGCGGACTCCTGAGCCACTAAAACGGCTAAATGTGCGCGTGCAGCGTGCTAAACACACGAGCAGCTTGCCCTGATTGCTGTGAGACCGGGTTGGGGGGTGGGGGGTGCAGCTGTGGTTGGGACAATTATTACATTAATTGATGGACTTGTAAATAAATAGTTTATAAATAAGGTAGAAATAAGTTCCTCACGCTGATAAATAATAACTAATCTCTCTGAGGACACGGTGCTAGTGCACTCTCCAGCAGCACATTGACACGACTAAATACGTATTATGCAACATTTTGTGAACATCAATTTATTTGCATGTATTTGTTATAAATGCCACTGTATAATTCTTGCTGTCAGTATTTGCAAGATATTGGTATTTGGGTCTGTACTGTTAGACTTAAATGAGTTAAACCAAGGTCTATAGACCTTGGGTCATAAACTATGAGCTATAAGTATATTGGTCTTTTTATACTGGGAATCAGGAGTTATTTTAGTGATCATCTTGTTTCTTATTTTTGTCCTGATTGTGCCCTGAGCAATTTTATGACTGAATAAAAACAAATAAAATCAACATAAATTGAAAAATCGTCCTAAATAATCGTGATCTCAATTTCAGTCACCATAATCGTGATTATTATTTTTGCCATAATCGAGCAGCCCTACCACAAACTAATTGGCTAATATGAATCCAAAAGAAGCAAACCGTTCTTTTGCATTAATGCATTAGAAATAAAAGGC